TAATGATTATTTCCAAAATGATGGTAAGGTAAACATCTTTCAAAAAAGAATAAAAAATCCTAAATCCTTATGAGGAAAAAAAAAGTTTTTTTTTTTTAAAAATTGCGGGAAAATTTATCGAATTTCGTTCCGGTTTTTTGGTTTTCCGGTTTTCTGATTTCCGGATAACGGGTTCTGTACTGTATATATATATATTATTAAAAAATTGAAATTTTTGAATTCAAATTTAATGGTGCGTTAACACACCATTGGCTAAATGCATGAGAAATAGGCAAAATTTGAAAACCTTCTTTTATGCAATGTTTCATAGTTTTATTGAAATTAATAGTATTCAAAGTTTTATTGTGCAACTTTATTGTTATCAGAGTTTTATTGTGCTGAGGCTAACAAGCGTTGTTCTTAGCGTTTCAAAACCAGCACAAAATTTATTTTATAACTCTTCCTATAGTTTATTCCAAATTCGGAAGGAAAAGTTTTCTTTGCATATGGCACAGCTCACGATATTGCATAGCTGGTTGTATATTGGATGACAGTCTCTTGGATTTGATCTAGCTGTCGCTAGATCCTGAAGGATTGGACACAACAACAACAAACAACAATATTGGATGACTCCAAAAATATGGAAAGAAAAATTTGGGTTCCTACGATTTTGCATTCAGCAAGATTCAAGGTAAGAAATGGTGATGGCCGTTATTTACAAACATCGTTGATAGCGTTATAGTAAATTCATGGAAGCTACATAGAATTTCAACTAGTTCAAAAATATCACTTATTGACTTTAGACCTTATTTTATAATCGATGTTGAACAGCCGACCCAATTCTTTTGGGTTTACGACTTCTAATGTTCAACTCCGTAGCCTTGTAATTTTGAACCAATCCAGAAGACAAGGAAACTCCTGGATCAGTACTCCCAGAGGTATTGATTTGTTATGGGAACATGGAGGACTTTGCGACTCGACAGATTTAACTTGCATCAGTCACCTTAGGCAGACCTGGGATCGAACACACAAACTCTTGGTCATGAGCCCAGTGCCCTACCAACCACGCTATCTCGGCCCACTTTAGATCTTATTTAGTTATTGCCCTTATAAAATCTGAATCCAAGAACATTCTATCTGGTGAGAGTGCATTGCAAGTTACTCATCTTGACAAAGGTCGCCCATCGTCTGCAGCTCTACCAAAAGAAGTATGGAGTGATAGAATCGGACATAAAATAAGTGAGCATGAAACAAAAGGCCCGCAGACGATGTAAAGTGTGGGGGGATTTATTTATACATCAATTACTAAATCCATTTGCATCCAAATGTTTCGAATATTTCCATTACAAATATAATTGTTGAACTAAGCGTATTGTTCATTAATCTGGCGAATGATACGTATACTCACCATTTTATTTCTTGAATAAAATATTTATCATGCACGAAACTTTTTTTTTTGTCGTAATGAATGTAATTTAAACATATTTCAATGAAAGTAATACTACATTTTATAAAATTTCTATCCTTGGCGTAAAATGGGTTATGGCAAAATACTTAGAATCAGTTTAAAGATGGAATCGAAAAGTTTGATGGTTAAACAACTTTTCGATCATGTATTTTTTGAAGGTAGGTAGAATCTTTAATCAATTAAAATCTCTTGCGTTTAATAGAACATTTGTGTACGGAACTATAAATCGATTAGTGGATAATAATGATCTACCCAGATCTGGTTGTACTAAAGAGTGCAATAAAAGATTTCGTGAAAAGATACGAAGAAATCCACATTGTTCTGCTAATAAAATAGCTACAGAGGAGAACATGAGTTGGAGAACTATGCTAGTCATATTAAATGAAGATATGGATTTTCAACCTTACTGCAAAAGAAAAGTTCAAGGTTTGACAACTGCATAAAAATTAAAAAGGTTACAAAAATGTAAGAAATAGCTAATCTGCATGATAGCAAAAGTGCTGACAGAATAATCTTTTCTGAGGAGAAAATATTTTGCACAACCAAGTTATAATGCCAAATATGATGTTGTATATTCAGCCAATTGTAGGGAGAAAATGAAAAGAGGGCATAATTTTTTTTTCTGATTCGACAGCCGTGAAATGTTTATTAAAACCTGCAAATAAAGTTGTTAAAGGTTGTAATAAAACCAAATTATTAATGAAATGACAAATCCGAAGTATCGCTGCAAAAAATAAGAGCAATTAAATAGAATGTATCGGCGAAGATATTGTATCGTTATTTATGACAGGAAAAAAAATACAGCGCAAATGTTTTCTTTTAAAATTTTTTTATAGGTACTACTTATTACGTAAGTTAACTCGTAGTTCAGGCATTGACTTGAAAAGTTTTCCCGGTTATCTTATATATCCGTCATTGAACAGACGACCCAATTTTTTGGGTTTACGGCCACTAATATTCAACTCTGCAACCTTGTAGTTTTGAACCCGATCCAGAAGACAAGGGAACTCCTTGATCGAGCATTGGACGAAATTTACCTTCGTGGAGGACTTTTTAATGGAGCTAACCCGCATTTACGTTACACGGAGAGGAAGACCACGAGAACCTCCAATGGTTAGTCTGACAGCAAGGTGACTCTAACCCATGATCCGTCTATCGTTGAGGATATTTTACGTCACAATGGTCGGTGCAAACCGGATGCGGAATTCGTATCGACCAGCCATCGCCGAACGCTCTATTCCCTGAACCATTGCGGCTCTTCCCCGGTTATCCGTCAATTTAGATTTTCCGACCTACCCCTGGTCTCAACGGGTTCCAAACTATAATCTAAGTAAAACACATCACCTAGATTAAGACGCCTTATCTTGGAAAGGTTGACAGATTAGCCAGAATCGGAGCACCATCTAACTACTTCTAAAAGTACACTCACTATTCTTGATTTCAGAGACTGTTTTGCCATACTTGCCTCTGACAATAATAACATCAACATACCCAACACAGGGAATGCCAAGATTGACTAGTCGAACTTGCAAAGAGTTCATAACCATACGTCATAGGATGGGGGACAAAACCCCTCCCTGAGGACAGTCTGCCTGAAGTAGAATGAACTCTCATGCTTGTGCCTAATAATAGACAGAAGAACAAACATACCTGGAAGAGCAAATTAGCTATCCACTTGGTGATGACCGGATTGATACTTCTAGTTTTAAGTGCATTGATGATTTTCAGATATAAATAATAATTATTATTATTTTATTCGGATAAATGAATTTGATAATTATGTGCTAAAACTTTTTGATTCGCATGCCAATTTCCAGAGATAAAGCGAAATACGTAAAAAGTAAAATTATCTTGAAGGGGTCAAAACTTTTAATCGCTCTCCTGTATAAATTATTGGGACCATATTTTCGACATTGCAGTTACCCCTCTCCCGCATTTGAAGGGTCAAAAATCAAATCAGTCGAAAAATATTTCAAAAATATATGTTTATTCTGAGAAAGTACTTTCTTATGTCTGATTTCATAACTTAAAATATCGTCAGCATTATTCATTAACTTATAAAGTCCTCGAACTATTAAGATTGACTATGTGAAAATTCGTTCATTAGATTAGATCAAAAGATATTATAACCGCTCACTTTTAATTTTGAGCGCAGTATATCAAGCTAAGACTCCTTAAACATGAAATAAACAAAAACGCAAAAGTGCACGCTCCTTAATTATGTACGTAATTAGCTTTAAAAAATCTATCAATCAAAGAATCTTTCCTTTATTTGCCCTCCCACCCCGCTTTTCTGCAACAGAAATTTCCACAAAGAAGGATAATTCAAAAATTTCACGCTTTCCTCACTTTTAAGATATAGAGGAATAGTATTTTTTGCTGAGGAAAAAAGCCAAAAGTACAGGAGGGGCTAGTCTAGTGGTCCCTAAGATGTTTCAGAGAGGTGCTTTGGCACGTTTGTCTGGAAAATCAATTTATTACTCTTGTTTACACAAAGCTTCCTTCATGCTCTAGTTTTGTATTTCAGATCTCAACTATTCACCGACTATGTAGGTGGTCGTCTGTTAAGAAAAAGCATTGATGGTCATTTTGTGATGGGATGCCGGCAATACACAACTTTTTCCCCTCCCTTTCCTCAGGATTAAAATAATTAAAACACGATAGCAGTTTATTTTAAACCATGAACGCGTGTAAGGACTTATAATAGAATTAAAATGCGTAAAAAAATATTTATAAGAATTTTTTTTTTTTTCATTGGTGCTTTGTGGTGCCCCCTTCACTTCAGGTGTCCTACGAACGTACTTAATTTGCTTAATGGTTAGTTCGACCCTCACCGTCCACCATTATACGTTTGCGTTAGCATATTGTTCAAGCAACGAGATAAAGTTCATTTTACAAACTATCATTTAGGTTTAAATTTTGAAGTTGGTATATTGTTAACAATGTAAGAAGTGTTATATAGCAATTCCTCTTTCAAATGACAATTCTTACGTCTTGAAATAACAGTTCTTCAAATGACGATTCTTAAACATAAATTATAAATCAGGTTACAAATACGCGTATACAAGAAATACAACGAGTCAAAAAGTCTCAAAACTCACAATTGCGAGCCAAATGGTTTCGCACCAAAAACTGCTACCCGGAATTATAACTAGTCATGAGCTTGCAGAGATTTCTAGTATAGAAAACTCCAGAAATTTGTACTTTTTGTACAATATTCTGTATTTATATGAGTATTTGTACTCTCTGTACTTGTACTTTCTGTATTTATATGAGTATTTGTACTCTGATGTACTTTCTTTTTCTATCTCTCCACACAATAGTGATGAAAGCATGCAAAGCGTTGCCATAGGTAGTGAGTTTTGCTCTGCGCCATCTGTAGCCCGTTTCTGACTTTTTACTGCATTTATTCGCTAGGTATCTAGCCTCAATCATAAACTTCATTAATGGAAACACAGAGCTATAAGCTGAAGCAGAGAGCTCCTCGCATTTTTTAACAGTCTGCAATCCTCCCTTTCTAAATTCTGTTTATTTTTAAACACAATACCTGAAAGTTAAGCTGTGATTAACAATAGTTTTTCACTTTATGGTTCGACGTTATCGAATTAATTCGAAATAATATAGTTCCTAGGGTAAGCTTATAATCTCTCTCTCCCTATATATTAATAAGTTGTTGACTTGGTATCGATTTGCTTCATAATTTTGAAGGAAAAAAAAAACAATCTTTAGAAGTTTGCCTGGCTGTGGCTACTAATTATACTCTTCGAGTTGGTCCTCTTATGTAATGTTTCTGAACTGAAGTTTCCAAGATTTGGCAATTATTCTACACTTTTGTAATCAATGCTGCCAACCCTTGGATTTACCAATAGGTTACTGAATTTTGCCAGTTTCTCCTGGGTTTTGTACATATTAGAAAATTCTCTAAAATTGAGTTAGTTTCTTCCGAGAAATCTCTATTACAATAGACTTTTTATGCACTTTATTGCCTGCTTGAATATTAATATGAGTATTAGTACTAATATATAATAAAGCGAGCTTCATTAATGGTAAGCAGTTTGAAGCTTTCTTTTTTTTTTTTTTGCTCTAAATTTTTCAATTCATTTTTATTTAATATTCCCTTTTTAAATTAATTACAATTTTATTTTCTATTATTATTCAAAATTAAGAGTTAACATAATAAAAAAAGAAAACATTTTAAGTCCATTTAATGTCAATCATAAATGGAAAATATTGCAATAGTTGTTAGTGTAACGAAGTTTCTCTATTTTGAGGACAATAACAATCCATAAAATTTTCTATGTGTTAAATGTATAGTATATGGTATGAAAATTATATTATTTTGATAAATCTACTAGATTTTTCCCTATCAATGTCGACAGCTATGAAGGATCTATGGCAGATTAATCCCCAAATCTTGAGAAACTAAAAAAAAAAAGACATAAAGTAAAATACTAAGTTGAAGGATATAATTCGCAATTCCTAAATAAACATCTACACATTTTTTTTAAAAAAAATTGACAAGTTTAAAATTTATTTGGCACCTTGGTGATTATTGTTAGTACGACAGATCACTATACATAAATATCTCCAATTTAGAAGGATCAAAATGAATTTTTATTTTAAGTTCTTATTTGTCTGTTGCTTTTAAATTTCATAAATGAAAACTGATTTACATTTCTTTGTGAATAATGCATTTTCTTAAAAAGCCATTATCATTAATCTTTTTTTAAATGAGTGCTTGAAAAACCACTACGAGTGTGAGAGTGTATATATATATATACAGTGAACCTTCAAGGGACCGAAATTTCAGTTCACTATATCCGTAATGCAAACAATTTTAACTAATTTTTTTCGAACTGCTCCCTTTTATTGCACATTATTTAAATAAATGACCAATAAAAAAAAATACAAAAATGATTAAAAAACAATAGTAACAAAAAATGCGTTATTTTTTATTACTTTTCGTCTCGCATACAAAAAATTTAGGGATGGGAAACTGAGATAGAAAAAGCAAGGAAGAAAAAAATGGTTATGGCTGCATCCCACGCAATAGATGGTTTTAAAAATTGGTATGTGTATTTTATGCAAAAATTTCATAATTACCAAAAAATTAAGAAAAAAAATCAGTCGCAGACAGAAAAAGTTCATAATATCCAATTTCCTCACTTCTTTTGGTTTACTATGTCCGGGAGTTCACTGTAACTTGGTTTAACTTTATATATATATATATGTATGCTTGTTAATGTATTTTGAATTTAAAATGTAGTCATGAATCTGACGTGATACCTAACAAATGAAGATCAAGGGAGAAAAACTGTTTATGTTGTCCATGAAAGCTAATTCTGAGTAAATCAAATTTCAAGGTATCAGAATTTACTGTAGTAAGTATTTGATTGAAATCTTTAGAATGAAATTATACACAAATGTCACAAGCACTCTGAAAATTGCAAAACAAAATTTTAAATTCGAATTATTTAATGTTGCAAAAAAATTTAATTTTTAAATTAGGTTGAATAAAAAACCGTTTTTTCCCTGCAATCGTTACTTAATCAGCTATATTCCCGTTGTCTACTTCATTCTGCTTTTATTCGTTCTTTTATTGTCTACGCGTGGACAGGAAATGTTTCTTCCCAGCATGGCTTAGCTTCACTGCGTAATAATTCTCAGTCTGAACTAATTTTCCACTTTATGGATATGTAGAAGTTAAGCAATCCTCAAAATGCAAGTCATCCTTTTTGTGAGAAATGGCCATAAATAAATATGGATAATAAATGAAATTCTNTAATATATTCTACAAGCACACAAAGTTGAAAAACATGAAACTTTCAAAAAGTGTCCACACTTTTGGCCACCACTGTATATATATATGTTTGCTTGTTAACGTATTTTGAATTTAAAATGTAGTCATGAATCTGACGCGATACCTAACAAATGAAGATCAAGGGAGAAAAACTGTTTATGTTGTCCATGAAAGCTAATTCTGAGTAAATCAAATTTCAAGGTATCAGAATTTACTGTAGTAAGTATTTGATTGAAATCTTTAGAATGAAATTATACACAAATGTCACAAGCCCTCTGAAAATTGCAAAACAAAATTTTAAATTTGAATTATTTAATGTTGCAAAAAAATTTAATTTGTAAATTACGTTGGATAAAAAACCGTTTTTTCCCTGCAATCGTTACTTAATCAGCTATATTCCCGTTGTCTACTTCATTCTGCTTTTATTCGTTCTTTTATTGTCTACGCGTGGACAGGAAATGTTTCTTCCCAGCATGGCTTAGCTTCACTGCGTAATAATTCTCAGTCTGAACTAATTTTCCACTTTATGGATATGTAGAAGTTAAGCAATCCTCAAAATGCAAGTCATCCTTTTTGTGAGAAATGGCCATAAATAAATATGGATAATAAATGAAATTCTCCCTTGGTCTTCAGATACAAAAACAGAGAAATTTATTATTTTATTTAATGCAGAAGGTACCATGCCTATATGATGGCTTCTAAATTGAGAAGAAAGAATTTGATATTACAGAGGCCTTTTTATAACTTTATGGATAATATATTTAAATATTTAAATATTATATAAATATATGGATAATATATTTAGTTAGTAACATGTAACTTACTTAAATAATGAAAAAAAAAAAAATTATGTAATCTTATTCACATTTCTAATTTATAATATTAATTTTTAAATTTCAGAAAGAGTGAAGCACATTCTTTGCCTCCCCCCTCAATTATTTCAAGACTAAAATAAACTTTTCTAATTAAAAAGTAGCTTCAAAGTTGAAAAAAAAATTATTTTTTCTTCTGTCATGTTAGTCTGAATACAGTTGAATGTATTTTCGCTAATGTTTTAATTCGAGGAGGGGCGAATAATATTATTCGCCTCCGCTCTTTGATTGCAGAGGAGGCGACTTCCCCCTCTTCCTTCCCAGTTTGCACGCCCTTGATGGAAAGTCAGGATTTTTAGTGATAAATGCTGAAAAATCATGGAAATTCCCAGTACATCATTTGGATTTTGAGTATATTGGAGCCTTTTATCTTGCCAATTAAATAAAAAAATCCCACATTGCGATTTGTGTTTACATGATTTAAAACTCCTACATTGCGATCCATATTCGTGCGATTTAAAAATCAGTAATCACAATTCGCATTTGAGTGATTTAAAAATTGCACATTGTTTGATTTATATTCCTACAATTTAAAAATCACAAATTGCAGTTAGTATTCACAAGATTTTAAAAGCCAACAACTCAATCAATCCATATTTGTCCAATTTAAAAATTACACATCGTGATCAGTGTTTGCAGGAATAAATTTTTTTTGTTGATATATTTAAAGTAACTTGATAGCACATGGAATGATGTTGAAACTTTTGTTTCTTTGAAATTAAATTATCATCCCTAGAACTGACCTTTTGAAAATAGCATATTTGAGTTAGCCAGATAAAAAAGATTTTAACTTTTAAGATTTTGAAAACATGTTAACTTTGTGAATGTTCTTTGAAGGCATTATTAAATATTTTTAAAACCATGTTCTAATAATTGCTGGGTTATTTGTTCTTTACTTTACTTAATTGTTCAGTTAATTTTTATTGCTTTTGTTTAAATTGGCAAAGCATTGCTCAGATAAAACAATATTATTTTTAAGAAAAAAGTTACTCGTTTAGAATTTTTTTTTTGTTGACTAAATTGAATAATGTTTTTTCCTGTGTAAGTAATGGAAAGTTATTGGTGGAAGTTCATGGAAAGTCATGGCTTTGAAGATTACAGCGGGCGTAGCGTTTTTAAAAAGTGCTTAATTTTGATTTTCGTTTTTTAAAACCCTTAAAGGTGCTTTTTTCGTTGGGTGTTTTTAAAAAGTTCTTAATTTTCTCTTTACCCTGTTGATTTCCGCCATGTATTATGCAAAAAGACACTGTTCATATTGTTTTCACAATTAATTCAACCCCAATATATTTCTGCGTACCGTCGGTCCGCAGTGTATGAAAACACCATTCGTTTTATGATTCAAAATTTCATGATTTTTGACAATTGTCAAAAACTGTGCCAAAAGGTTTTTTTTGACAAATGGTAGTTAAATCCAGATAAAACTGTCAAAAACTTGCCTGATTATATTTTTTTAAAAGTGCTTAAAAATATTTTTGAGTGCTTATTTTCTGTTTAAAAATTTAGCTACGCACCCTGGGTTAGGTTTAGAAGATATCCCGTATATGCATAATTTAAATAATTAAATTGAAACTTATTTTTTAGGAACCAATGGCTGATGAAAAGATTATAGAGTGGGAAGAAGAAGCAAAGTATGTGATTCAAGATGTTGGCTTTGCACTTAATAGCATAGCCATCTCTTCAAGTTTACCTCAGACAAAGTCTCGAATCTTCCTCAACATTGAAACACGAGAAAAGCAGAAGTTGTGCGTTGAATTATCCGCTAGTGGTTTCCGAGTTGTGTCCGATACTTTCGATGAAGCAGGTGATGATTATCCGGACAAAACGTATTACGAAACTCCTTATGCGCTCTTTGATAAATACAGTAGTGAATTCCGTAATTGTTTCAGCGCGGAACTGATAAAAAGACTAAATAATATGCCTCAGTTGTCATAATTTTATTCACGACAAGCATTTTATATAAATTCAAATGTTTTTGTTAGTTTATATGTCACTCTTGTTTAACTTATTTATATTTATGTTTACATATCACTTCTTAATCACATGTATGGAAAAGCTTATAAAATAATTCATACATTCAAAACATTCAGTGCTGTATTGAGTAGTTAGTCTAGTTGTGTAGGGGTTCTATCATTGAGTGTATTTCAGCTTTCAGTTCTTTGTTGAAAGTCCAAGAAAGAAACTTCATCTGTTTGGTAACACACATACATATGCATTGGTGTTTTATATAGCATAGATAGGTTTAGATGTTTTAGACACCGTAGTACTAGATTTAACTATTTCACATTGATAAAAAACCGTTTTTTCTGATAAAAAAAATTACATATTTAACAAAACTTTTGTTGAAATTTTTGTGGTATCTTTTTGAAGAATCATTATGATGTTTAATTAAATTGCAGAATACAATTTTGTTAATAAACCCACAAAAAAGTTTATACTTGTATTCCTAGATATTAAGAGTTATTCTATAACTTAAAAAATAAGGAAACATTTATTCTATTGTTTGCCTTAACTTACTGTAATTTTATAGCGATACCTTAAATCTATAGTTATTAGCGTCTATGCTTATTATAACAGCAGGATGTAATTTATTTTTACCTTTCTGCTCAAAAATTAGGTAGAGCCTCATCAGTGAAAAGCTAATGAACTAAACTATACAAATTTATTTCACACCATTAAAAATAAGATTTTAAAAATATTGTTAAAGAATTTAAAAACAAAAAACTTTTAAATTAGTGCCCAGAAAATTTTAAAGCTGTGCTTATCACTAGTTATTCACTATAACTTTTTCTATATTTTATTTTACTGTGATATCTAATTTTAATATATTTTCTTTGTTGTTATCCTATTTCCATATTATCGCATGTTTAAATATAAATTTTCTTCATGCTAAATGGCGGGAAATAGAAAAATCTCAAAACTGAACTTTTTTTGAGCATGTGAAACGGTTTAGCTTTTTTAAAAAATTTATATGAAATATTTTTTACTGTGCCTGCCTATTTACTATGTTCATGATCCCACAAGCCGTAGTATCAGCGAAATACAAGCAATGGATTTGTTTTATTTTAAACAAAAATGAATTTTGAGATAGCAGCGTTCTCACAATAGAAACTTATGGTAATTTAACTTTAATCATTAATATTAAAGGCTACTTTTTAAAGTTTATTTAAAAAATGTTTTTTTGGTCTCATTCTTGTATGCAACTACATGTTTGTGCAAATTTAATTTAGATAAAATGTAATATTTACAAAGTTTTTTTTTTTGAAATTTAATTGTTATATAAATTTTTTGTCAAGCATAGTTGTTTTTGCAAATAATAGTTTTAAATAATTATAAAATTTCCGATGTGTTCACTTAAAATTATTTTGACAATTTTTAAAATATTAAATGCTTTCCTGGTTTCACCCCCTGGAAAACTTTCTACAAGTTTTTTGTTAAGTAAAATTTTAGATAATGAAAAAATTGTCACGTAAATATTTCTCCATTTAATTTCAATAAAAAAAAGTGGAAGAAAAATTACGGAAGATATTTGGTTAAATTTAAATTATTTTGCTTGTTATCAAAACTGTTACTAAATATGACAATTTAAGAATTCAAATAGTAATTTTATTTTTATCTTTAATAAAGATTTAAATAAACCTACAGTTTTATTTTACGGAAATAATGGCATGGCTATACTTTTAAATAGTAAGAATTTTTTTTAAAAATTAAAATTTCCACTCGATTTAAATGAAAATATAACTTAAATATAAAGCTATACAGCATGATTCTTATTGCGCAATTTCATAATTGGAATAATGTTTGATAATTGTGAAATTACAAATGATTAGAGTAAAGACTTTTATAAAATATGTTTCATAAACAATTTCAATTAAAAAAGAATTGAAGAATACCTTTGAAATTAAAAACTAGAAAATAATTATATAAAATTTATCAGAAAACTTTGCTTAAAGAAAAGGAAAAAAAATCAAAAGTTAAGCTACTCGAGTATTATTTCTTAGTTAAATTTGAAATTTTCATTCATAAAAATCAGCTAGTCAAAGCATAATTTGGAATAGGAAAATGGGTGGTAGCTGAATTCGGTAATATAATTTTTATACGAAGTAACCAAGTACGTGTTTTGCTTAATCTATTCACGCAAAGCCACTGATAAAGATAAAATATAATAGTAATAAATTTAAAAAAATGGAATTATTTCAACTTTATTGTCTTTCACTTTTGTGCTGGATTTTTAAAGTATTGTTCAATACTTTTCATACTGAACAAATTGAAAATTAACAGGGTTGATTGTGACACAAAGTGAAAAACCCTGCAAATTTTATGTGCAAGAAATCGATTTATACATAAATCATATTTTTTCAACTAGCATTTGTAATTAAATTACCTAATAATGAAGAATATCACACNTTCATCCTGAACAAAGAAGGGGTTATCTTTTAATGAAAATAAACAGGGGTAATTGTGACACAAAGTGAAAAACCCTGCAAATTTTATGTGCAAGAAATCGATTTATACATAAATCATATTTTTTCAACTAGCATTTATAATTAAATTACCTAATAATGAAGAATATTACACCTTTATAGTAACTATTCAAGAGAAAACTTATACGAATCTATGATACAGGATTTTAAAATCTTAAAAATGCAAATTACGATATTGAATTTTAAATCACTTCAATTCTAATCACAATTTATAATTTTAAGATCGTGTGAGCACGAATCGAAATGTGTAGTTTTTAAATTATGTATAAATACGAAAATAGATTTTTGATATTACAGCCTCATGATTGCGTATCTCAATATTGGATTTTAAAAATGCATGAATATGAAACACACGATTTTGGGTTTTAAAAAGGCGTAAATATAAATTGAGATATTAGATTTTTAATTCGCATAAATAGGAACGCGATGTACGATTTCAAAATCGCATTATCCAATTTTAATGAAGGTATTTTTACAGATACTGCATTTTTGTCGAATATCCCGAGATTGTATATAATTTAAGAAAGAGTGTTAAGTAGTTCTTTTTATAAATTTGAAAAAACAAACAAACCTTTGAATTTATTTAAGTCAAATTACAATAAAGCTGTACAATTTTATTAAAAAAAAAGAAAGAATGCATTATAAACATAAAATACAATTCAGATCACTTTCAGTGTGGGAAAATTCTTATGGACAGAAAAATCAAACTCTGGTGGATCCTACAAGAAGAAGAAAAAAATTCAGTTAGTATTCATGGCTGTAAAGTTTTCTATAGTTATAAATTTGATTGTAAAAGTTTGTCACCTTTGATCCTTCTTTATGTCCGCTATGTAGGAGCTTCATAACAATGAAATTAGTTTTAGCAACTTTTAATAAGTTCAGCATCTGAAATAATAATTAGTAAATTATTTAAATGTGGTACAAACTTAAAAATAATAGGCAGTTCATTTCTGGAGTTTTAATTCTCGAATTGCAACATGAAAGCTCCAAAATATAAACACACTATAAGTTTATGGAAGAAAAGCAGGGTGTCCCGCTTTTGCCATTTTCTATTACAATGACATCCCTGCATCAAGAATTTGCCAAACGTTTTCTCACAGACTATGGTTTGTATGCAACTGTATTTTAGTTTTATGATAAAAGCACTTCCATAAAGAACTATTTTTTTTTCTACAGACCATGACCAAAGCTTTCAGATATTCTATTATTTATTATAATGCAACTTTTGTGGAAACAGAACAGTGCTTCCCAACCATTTTGTGCTATACCATACCTAAGCTTTTGTAAAATTCTTATGCCTCTATTTTTAATATTAAAAAAAAAAAGAAACCAAAGAAATTTGCATAATAGAGATTAGGAAAAATATTGAGCGAACACAGTAACTTTTTGATACATGTAAATGGAAAACTGAAATTCAAATGTAAAACAATTTTAATGAATTTTTTTTCCATATTTTTTATTTGAATTTGGCAAGATTCTCGCTGCATGTCTGGTTCCAATCTAGTTAATTTAAGTCTTCCCGATTATTTTAGAAGATAATTATTTATAGTACTAAATCTGCATTCAAGTAAACATGGAAATGGTAACAGTAATTCTCTCATATATCAGATTCTTATGTGATTAGACTGCATTGTGCAAATTGAATATATTTATGGTCATTTTAATTCTACAGTCTTTCTGTTAGTGAAGTTTCATCGTGGATATTGTTAAATAAAACACTTCCATCAAAATAGTATTTTATTAATTACTATTTTTCATAATTTTGTTTTATAATGGTTGAGAATTAAATTTTAATATTTTTAACTCAGTAATTTTGTCATTAAATAGTTTAAAATAATATTGCCGATCTTTATTTATTTAAACAATTTTGCCAGATTAATTTATGTTTTGCACTGCATAGTCAGTGAAGTTGTATTTATTTTTAAGTTTATCTACTCCTGATGGAGTGAATAACAATCTATCAAGTAAGAGGTTCTTTTCATTTATGATATTTTTTTTAAAGCCAATTTGCAATTTACATGTAGATCACTTAATGTATCATGAAATATGTAAGGCATTTTTTTTATTGCACTGATAATTTAAACATGAAGCAATAGTTTTTCACTTTTAAAAAGTATAATTATGTTCTGTTCATTCAATTCAGTTATAATAAATTCTTTTAAGTTTATTCTTTTAAATACCCGCACATTACGATTAAAAATCAAACAGACCTCAAATGACAAATAAAAAACAGTCACTCTGCAACTGTAGAATTCATAGAATAATCCGGAAAGAGAAAATGTGCGAAAAGTTCTTGTCTGTGTATCTGTTACAAACAATGAGTTATATTTTATTTTCAAAACCATGGCACCAAGGTTAGAGAGAAAGGAATCCAGAGCGGAAAAAGAAATATGGAGAAAGAGAAACTTGGATGAACACAGCGTTTTTTATTGATCGTAGAATTAGTTTCTTGTAATTTTTAAAAAATAATGTACAGCAATTTTTTAAATTGAATATTTTTTTTTTGAAAACTACATAATATCTTTGTAAACAGCAGATCAAAATTTTTTAACGACGAACATCCCCAGATTAATCAATCTTCCTAAAGTTATTTCTGCAATCAATATGAATTGAGCTTTAGTGTGCAGAGTTGTTTAAAAAAATTTTTTTCACATAAAGAAACGTTTAGGATAAAATAAAACAAACCTCTTCGTTAGGATCCGCTAATGTTTCAAGATTAAGACGAGCATGATGAAAGCATTTACAGGCATCCATGTAAAGGTCAGTTGGAGTTGAATGGAACTGCAACATTTCTGCCACATCTTTAAATTGAGAGTATGGGACTGGGGGTGGAGTTATGATAGAGTTGAAAGGAGCAAATCTATGTTCATAGCGGACTCTTTCATTATCAAATTCCACACAGGGTCGCTTTAGTTTTCCATCTAAACTGAATCCACAAACAGCCTGCAAAGAAAAATAAGTTTCATAAATAATAAAACCAGGATGCGTAGCGTTTTTAAAAAGTGCTTATTTTCGTTTTTTAAAAGCCCTTAAAGGTGCTTTTTCCATTGGGTGTTTTTAAAAAGTGCTTCATTTTCCTTTTTTCAAAATGAGACTCTTCCTTTACTATGTTGATTTTCACTTTGAATTATTCAAAAAGACACTTCACATTGTTCTATTCAACGTTTCCATAAGTAGTTCAACTCCAATCTATTTCAGAGTATAGTCAGTCCGTAGCGTATGAAAACTCCATTCGTTTTACATGATTCAAAATTTCATGATTTTTGACAGTCCTTAAAAACAATGCCAAAAGTTTTTTTTTTTACATGACAGTTAAAACAAGATAAAACCGTCGATTGTCAAAAACTTTCCAGCTCTGCCTAGTTATGATATATTTTATAAAGTGCTTAAAAATATTTTTTGAGTGCTTGAAAAGCGCTTATTTTTTTTTGAATAATTTAGCTACGCAATTTAGCTAAATTAGTACCAAGAATGCTTGGGAATTAAATATTGAGGGTTCCACATTCGGTTGACCACCCGACCAGAACATCTGCTCTTGCACCATAGAAACTGAGATGGGCACAGTAGGCCTTGGCTCTCTTTGAGCTCGCACCACTGAGTTTAGTTTTTGTTGTAGGTTAAGATTTGAAAAATATTATAGTTGAAACTTTATTGTTTCAAAACAATTTATGTGCTAACAAATTTTCGTACATAAAGATGTGCTAGCAAATTTTCTTAAAAAAGATGAGCTATTAACAACACTTAATGCAATGAAAGGATCAATTCCTAACAGTAGACTTTATTATATTGAACTGGACATAAATGAAAAATCCTTATAAAACTGAAAGACTTAGAAAAACACCCTTAATTGTCATCAATCTATACCATAGGTTCACAACATTGGGATAACACCCTCTAATGGGCGGTGAAAATTTTGGGATGCTAGCAAAATAATGTGAATTTGATGGATTTTAGGAATTTCTTAAAGGTAGTACACAAACTATGAATGAAATTAGTAATGAGTACACACTAAAGTGGAGCTTATATTTGCTGCTAAAGCATTAATTTTGTCAAAATCGTTTGCCTTATAAATGAGAATAATTATAGAAGTGTGTAGCCAAACTTTTCAACAAAAATAAGCACCTTCAAAGTATTTTTTTAAGAGAAAATAATAATTAATGCACAAATAAAAAAATTTTTTCTTCCTATTGTAGAAAGTTCATATATGTATATAAATAAACAAAATGCTAAAACGTTATCAAAATTTTTACATGATCAGGAAAAAATAATTTCTGACATGAACTCTTGATTATGATAGCCACCATAAAAACAATTTATGCAGAATTTTAAATATATTCACTAGTGAGTCGCACATTCTATTTTTCAAATTAATAGTATTTTTATTTGATTGCGTAAAAAAAAATTATTCCAAAATTAAAATTAGATAAACTATAATTTAAAAAAGCTATTAGGTGTATTTTTTAAAAATTTAAATAAAAGTTATTTATAAAAGTATATTCAACAAGAATTAACAAGATTAATATTATTGATCATACTGAATTTACGAAGATATGTAAAGAATTAAGCAAACTAAGAAAACTTAGTAAATTCATATTACTAATGTAAATTAGTGAATGACCCCTGTGAAATTTTTATTAAACTCCGTTATAAATGTTTTTATAAACCTATTTGTTATAAATGTTTCTATAAACCTTGGAATTCCAAGCAATTAGTTTTTTTTTAATATTAAACTTAAAATTTTTCCCTTTATTGTGTATATCAACAATGTAGAATTATCTAATCTTTTAATACTGAAATAAAAAAAAGAATAAAAATTAATGTTATCATCAAGATAAAAAAAGCTGGATAAATTTCTCAAGGGATATATTTTTTATAAAAATTATTAATTAAAAATAATTAAAGAAAATTAAATCATCAATAAATCTGAAAACATCTTTAATATTTGGTGAATAGTTTTTTTTTCATACTAGCATAATAGTGAAGAAATAAGTTAGGTAACTGGCAAAAAATGAGATTCTTGTGGTATGGCAAACATTGGAAATATTTTTTCCCTCCTTATATCCTTATTAAGTAAACATAGATAAATTAGAATTTTCCAAAGTTTAAAATCCCAATTTAGGATCATAGTAATAATTAATAAAAAAAATATCTTTAAGCTTAGAAAATACAATACTATTAAAGACATGCAAAAAATCAATGGTACCAATATTTGAGTAATTTTGTTGCACTTAATAAAATAAAAAATGGGTTGATTGTTAGTAATAATCTTAGAAAAACAATCTTTAATAACTTCGTTAATATTTAAGTATTTCGAGAATATTATACCATGCTTAGTTAAGCAAGTGTTAAATTCAAAAATTTTTCTGTGGATATTACCTAATGAGTTGAAAAAGAGGTTATATTATTTCAATGTTAAGTTTTCTTTATTTTAAACAATTAATTGTTTTCTGATTTTTAAATTTTTTTTATTGTTTACTTCTTTTAATAAGTTTTCTTGTCTTAGTGTGATTATATATAATAAAATTTAGTATTGAGACATAACACATTGTTATAACTTTAAATAATGATTTCTTAAAATTACAATTTAATGATTTTTTTCTGAAATTTCAACTAAGCAATGTACAACATACACAATGAAATACAAAGACAGACTAAAGATCAATTATTAAAAAAAAATGATTTGAACCTTCTTAATAGAATCGCATTGTCAGTTACTTTTATAGAACAGAAAGTGTTTTAAATAATAATAATAATAAACAAAACATCGAGCTTATTGAAGAAACAGAAAACAAAAAGTTGAAATAAATGTAAAATGTGAGTGAGAAAATAACTGCAAATGATTACAGAGAAGATCAAATAATTAGAAAACATTTCATTAGCTTCTGGTAAATTAAACTAACCTTGTAATAGCCACCACATAAATTTTGTAATGCTTGAGTAAGTATAATTTCACGCTTGTGTGGTTGAATCCTCTTCTTTTTTTTATTCCTTTTAGAATTTCTTCCTTTTTGAGACATTTGTTCTAAAAATAAAATGAAAAGATAACTCTGCAAAAAGTTTAATTATTACCCAATTTTATCACGGTAAAGAATTTATAACCTTTCTAAATTACAGAATTTTAACTTATGAAATGTAAAATGGGAACACAATGGGTGGGATAGTTTTTTTGCAAAATGATTTTAAAGAGTTTTAAGTTCTAATTTTTCTTATAACTTACAACCATTAAATAGTAACCTAAAGTTATATTCCCTCTTTTATGCTGTAACTGTTAAATGCTGAGAAGTAGTTCAAAATATTATGCAACTACCCTAGGAGCAAAATAACTCGAGCTTTTATTGGACCAATATTCACGAATCTTGGCTCAATAAGTTTTCTAAGGGTCATTATTTTCTGATATTTGCCTTATATAGAACCCATATATTTTACAGCCACTTTGCAACCAATATCGGCCCATATTGATCGTATGTAGGCCAATATTTGCCCTATATAGGGCCAATATTGAGAATTCTAGACATCTCGATATTGATCCCCCAATACATGTTCACATAGGACCAATATTGAGGACAACTGGTGTCAATGTAATATTGTTGCTAGAATATGCTCATAATTTTTTTTCCATAAAAAAAAGTTTACAATAAACATAAAATATATTAAACATTACAAAGCAGATAATGCTAAAGCATGTAAGAATAACAATTGTATCTAGTATATATCTATTCATCAGCACTACTGTTACTGTAATAGAACATTTGAATTTCAATAAGTATAGAAAGGAAATATCAAAAGTTAATACCAGCTTTACATTCTTGTTCACTGAGGTAACTATTAGCTCTTGATAATGCAGATACCATCCACCCATATAGAAACTCATACAAATACCTAGTGAAAACAAAAAACTAATTTATATGAAGGATTTAAACAATAAATGCAATGAAAGTTCATTTCTCCCTCACTATTCATTGGATTTAGTCAAAAATAATTTCGGGTAAAGAAGCTTTTAAACTAAATCAAAGAACTAAATCCTACATAAATTCAAAATCAACAAGAATAAATATTTTGAAAGATTATTTATTTAAGGGGAAACAACAAGGTAAAATTTAATATATATATGTAATACAAACGTTATAAAAATACTTTTGTATTAATANATAACTAAAAAATATCGGTGTGGATCCAATCATATTAGATATATATATATATATACATCACAATTTTTTATAGTTTTTCCTTTTAATTTCCTTGTACCAAAATAATTGGATCGATTTTTATAAAAATGTATAAGTTACAGCATAATATGTCGAGTGTAATGCAAGACACAGGACACGTATAAATAAGTTAACTCAGTTGATTATTAATTCCTATCAAAATATGTAAAAATAAGCATTAATGTTACTTATAACATGAATAGTCAAAATTGAATGTTTGGTTGGGATAATTTTTAATGAAGGCTGGAGAGTTATTAATAGTTTTGGAACAATTATAAATAAAAATAGGCCTAGCAGCCAAAGAATAATATATAAACAATCCATGTTTAATTATAGTTAATTCACATTTATTAAGTTAAATGAAATAGAATAAATAGCTAAGCTAAAAATCCTTTTTATCAAAATATGAAAACAAAGCAAAAAAATACAATTAAATAAAGTAACAATAGAAACGTGATATTTTTAATCCTTAGGTACAAAATTAATAAACAAATTATCCTAAAATATGAAACACTGTTGCAGGAAAAATAAACAATATAACATCTTTTCAATAACTAAGTCATCCTAAAAAAATATGATACTAAAAATAAAAAAATTTATAAAATATTATACAAATAATCTACATTTAACTGAAATTGAATCGTATTTTAATCAAATGACATTTTTCAGAAAAGAGGGTAAAAAATGCAATATGTTAAAATTTTCTATTTAAAAAAATAATAAATTCATAAATAAGGTAGATAAATAGATAGAAATAAAACTTTTTGTTTCTTACTGTGGGTAACAGAAAGTGGTAGTCAATGTATTTTTCTATACATATAATTGTAATCAATGTATTTTCCTGGCTCTACTTGCGTTCAGAACAGTAACACATGAGAGCACGGGATTTAGTTCTGTTGAGGTAATAGCACAGGGAAAACCTTTGAATGCCTTACACTCTACTTTATGAAAATCGGATGGAAAAAGAAAGTGTGGTAAACAAGTTAATAATCAATAATGACTGATGAAATACACCTTTTAGAAAAAGTAAGCATTGAATCATTAAAAACATTAATCTAAATAACATAAAATTATTCTATGAAAAACAGTAAAATAAATTCTAATAATAGGACGAGAGAGAAAGAAACATACCAAAATATGTAGGTATATTCATGACTAGAGTATAGTTCCAATTCAAATCCTGACAAAACATATTGAATCATGATTTTTAGGATGTGGTAAAGAACCCAAGTTCCAAAACAAGCCAAATGTGGAAAATGGTTGTCCAAGTTAGTCGAAACATTGTGAAGGTACGCATCCACTTTATCAGCCTATAAAAAAAATTAAAAAAAAAAAACACATCTATATCAGCCCATAAAAATAAACCCATTCTTGTTTATGTACATTATTCTTAATTTTTACCATATATAGTTCATTTTGGAGGATAGTTCGTGTTAAAATGAAATATGAAGAGAGACATTATACTTAAAATATTTTTTTTTCTCCCAAATCTTGCAGACTGTTATTACTAACTTACTTACAATGAAGCTTCTAGAATAATAAGAAGTAGCATTGGAAGTTGGAAAAATATATAGCAATCAAAATTTAAGGAATGTTTTTTTTCCATATGAATAGGAAAAAATGTTCATTAAGAGAAGCACCATCACTTTCAAAATTTTAAACAGGATCAGGACAAGCTAAATTAACATTAAAAAAAAAAAAACCTTTTTAAAATCAATACTTATTACCAGGTCTAGGATACATTTTTTAAATATTTAGTTGTTTTTTCTTGGTGATCTTTTTTCTCACTTTTTTTAAAATAATAATTTATGAATTTTGAATCAGTTTTTTCAATTTAAACACATTTTGCTCGAGAAATAATTCTTTTCTTATAAATAGGTATACATTTTGAATTAAATCTAGTTATTATAAGTATTCTCCCGAAACGAGAGTTGATGTTGAACAGGGTTTTTCAAAACATAAAAAATTTGTTGTCGGACAAAAGGCAATATCAGAAAACATTTAATAATACAACGCAATTCTGATGTTCTTGAAGATTGTAACTAAAAATCAATAAGATAAATCAATCAACAGATAAATTGTTATTTATCTGCATCATATATTTATTTACATTTTAATTTATTTATAAATTACATGTCTTTTCATTTAATTACCTTATTTTTTCATTAAATTTATAAATACAAGTCACAAGTTGTAATTTTTTTTATATAAAAAGCGAATAAAGATATGTTTTCAATAATTTTTAAAGATTATCTTTTACTTTAAGGTTATTTTTGATGTTTTTCTTTTTTTGCAGCTTTTAAGGGCATTTTTTAGAAATTTTCAGGTAATCAGCACTCTAAACCTACTTACATCAATAATGATAACAATGAAAAACTTAAGAGCTTAATTCTTTAAAATAAGTCTCAATAATTATTATTATTTTTATTTTTTTTGACTTTATATTTTGTAACAATTTTGCCCACAAAAATTCTCTAAAATTTCTATAAGAACTCAAATTTTCATCAAATGATAATACAGTTACAAATGATTTTTTATAACTCACAATTTGATATTTAAAACAGCTTAACACTTAAGAAGAGAATTTTAGGAAAATGATTCCTTAAAAAGGAAGGTTTATGATTGTAATTTTAAAAAAAAATTTAAAAATTGAGATATTTGAGTTAAATTAGTTAAAAAAATTTTTTTTTACTTATCAGATCAGTACTTGAAGAATACAGTAATTTTCCTTAAAACCGCACAATATGTGGTTTTGTATTGTTATTATTTCGTTTTGCTATGTTTGTTGCAGAAATAATAATTAAAAATAGTCTTTTTTTTTTGTTTAAAATTGTCTTAGTATTAGCAAATTTTGAAAACAGTTGTAAATTATTTTTATTATCTTAAATAGTTTCCGAGACAAAGCATAAAGTACAGGAAGAATGAATAACATCAAATAACTCTCTCCTGACTGAATTTCTGGAACAGCAACACATATAAGAATTGTAATTGTATTGTATTTTGTAAGCTAATCAAAATGTTTAATTAATCAATAGAATATAAAAATGTTTTTACTTCTTCCTGTAGTGCAGCTAACTCCTCAATTAAGTGAGACAGCTTGTCTCTCTGTCTTGCTCTATTGTGCCCAGTTATCTGTATTAATGTGCAGAAAGGTCGAACACAATGACCGAGAAAGCTTTCGACATATTCCTTAGTTTGCAAATTCATCATCAGAGGGGATCTAAACATTTTGAAACACAGAATGAAATTGTTAATGTTACACTTAAATAGTTCGTTAATAGGTTGTAATCAATACTAACTAATGTAGGGGGCAGAACAACCTTTTCACACAAAATAAATTAAATTATACAAAATATTCAGGGGTTTGCCTAGGTTTTTATGAGAGGTACCTATTTTGTGAAAATTTAGACATAATTTTAAAAATTAAAACAAAAATATGGTAAAGTAAGAAGATATTTTCAAAAATTGTCACTACAAATAAAAATTATTTATGACTGGTAAATTTTTATATATTTTTCCCCATGTATTCCAAAATAATTTAGCTATTGTAAAATTTTGGGCTTAAGATTGCATCTAAATTTAAAAATCCATAAAAAAAATCATCGTCGATTGTTAAATTTCAACTTGAATGAAAAAAATATTTAAAAAAACATGTATTTACCAGTACTTGCACTAAAAGTTATTTTCAGTATGAGAACATTTCCCATGGGGTCATATAGAAAAAAGTTTCACAGAGAAAAAAATGTTTCATAAAAAAATAAAGGTCTGTTAGAATAAATTTGGAACAATGTTCGAATGTTTAGAATAATGTTCAAATGTCAACTCCCTGTAAAGTTTACAGAGGGAGCGCCTCGTTTAATTTTTTTTTAAAAATCGCTATAATATGACATAAGTTCCTGGTTAGGCTACCATACCGCACTATCTGACCAAGCACATGCTACCTATTCGTATATGCTTAATTAAACTGGGATTTATAGTTTCTTATGGGAAACAAATCTTTAAGAATCTTAAATTGGAACCAACATTTTTTATATCAGATTTAAATTCTCTCTGCTAAAAAAAATAAATAATAATACTGTTTTTTGATTTGCAGGTTTTTGTATTTCAATTTACACTAAAGATGGCATTGTACTTGCAAAATGTAAATCAAGTAAAAATTGCTTAAACTGGGGTGGTAACTTGAGAAATATATGTCACATAAAAATAGTCAGGTTTGATATATTGAACATATTAATTAATGGTACCAAATTCAATCTCTTGAGAGTCATCCCAGTTATGGGAGTGGAAGTAAATTTCATTCGTTAAATAGGGAAAAAAAATCTCCTCATATACAGATTCCTACAGCATTTTTTGAAAAGTATCAAGGAGTATCTTCAGAAATACATTTCATAAAATATCCATTTCTTAACTTTAAATTGGAATATATTTTACTAATTACTTAGACAATTACAGAACTTAGACAATCACATAATAAAACTAATCATATTGTATAGCTACCAATGCAGATATGAAAAAATCCAGTAGATTTTACGCAATAATATAAACTTTACGATAATTGTTGAAAATATACTCAACATTTTACACACGGGGAAATTTAGGGATTTTTATAGTCATCAAAATAAAAAAACTTAAATATTTTCCAGTTATGATTCCACATTAAATGATGTTATGTTATGTATTATGTTAATTCATAATTTTGAATAGTATTAGGCATTTAATGGATCAAAGATAGTTAACAGAATTTTATAAATGAGGCTCGCTTCCTTATGTATTAGTGACACTTATTTAAATATTCATGCAAGAAATAATCTATACGAAAATTCTATTTCAATGTTTTTTTTTAAAGGAAATTTACTCAATTTAAGGAATTTTTAAAAATGTACAAAAACCAGGAGAAATTTTTATTAAACCAGTAGACCAGGAGAAACTGGCAAAATCCAGAAGTCTACTAGAAAATCCAGTAGAGTTGGCAGCCATGATATTGTAAATTAACTTATACAGATACACTTTGATTTAAATAAAAAAATGTCTTTTAATGGGAAAGGTGATGAAGTAAGAAAAGTTATTGTGTAAACGAATTGATAGGCTATTATGAATACCGACATACCTTGGCATTAGAATAGGTGGCTTAATAAAAGATCGAATGGCATCTCTTAAGACATCGACTATGTGCATAGTACCGAGCACTTTGCCAGGAACACTGCATTTAGAATGATTTAAGTATAACAACTGAAACATAAAATGAAGGTATGAAAAAGAACACTAAAACATGGATTGGCTAAGTTCATTTAGAATTTTCAACTTACCTGTAATACAGATCTAGAGAGCACACAAGGAGAAGTTTTACTGAATTCATTCATAAAATCCTGAGAACAAAATGGAGAAGGATAAAAAAAAATCCACAATTGGCAAATTCCATAATTCATGTATCATTATTTTATTGCAAATAAACAGGCATAAAAAAAAGGATATTACTAATATGGAGCAAAAAAATAGAAAAAAAAAGTTAAAGCAAAAAGAAGAAATTTTTGATTAATGAAGGATTTCTTAACATTATTTTACACATGATTAAAACATTTTTAATCATTGTTATAATCTTTTATAAAATGCTTTTTTCCCTACTGAATGTTTTTAAATATAATAATCTATTCCTTAGAGAATTTTTAGTATAAAATAATTAGTAAAATAGGAGTTTCATAGAAAAATTAATTTTTTTAAAATATTAAAATTCATAACTAACTAAAATTTATTTGCATGATATTATTCTTACACGAAAGTTCCTTTTTCTTCTAATGAAATTCCCTTTCTGAATTAGAAAATTCTTGAAAATTTTAAAATTTTCTGATAAAAATAATGATTTGGGAGGAGGCATAAAATTTCAGAAGAGTTAAGACACATATTAAAACACTTTTTGATGTACAGGAAATCTAAAAGCTCTCCTTTTAATATGTTTCTAATACTCTCTTGGTTTCTTTCACATCCTAGTTCAAAAGTACTTTCCTGGCTATTTCATATTAAAATAAAGAATTAGTTTTTATGCTAACAACTATATTTTATTCAATAAATAAAAAAGGATTTATTTCTGCAATAATAATGCGGACAATAACGTAATAATAATAATGCATACCAATGCGGAATGAAAAGTGATACATTCAGTAATGTTGCAGATAGTTCTGAGACGTGTCACCAGGTAGAGTAGATAATTCATAGATTCTTTGCGGGTTTTGATTTTAGTGTAACGAGGAAATGTTGGAGGTAAAAGACGTTGATTGACCAAAGGCTCAAAACCCAAAATTGTTGGATAGTCAGCTGAAAATATTAATTTTTTGTGTTAAAAAAGTAATAAAGAGCAAGAGAAAAATAACGAAATTTTAATATTTTAGAAGTAAATAATAACACATACAAAAACTCTATTGTCAACAAATCTTAAAAAACAAAAAGTCAACAGTATATGTAGTTAATAAAAGCTAGAAAAAAAAAGAAATTATTACAATATGTGGATATAAATAGAGACCATATATTAACACACACAAGACAAAATAAAAATCACACTATAAAAACTTTTTTTTTTTTTTTTACATATTTTAAGCAATTTCAAAACTATTGCAGGATAGATAGATCAATTTATATGCATTTTCTTCTGACTGTTCTAGTAACATGTCATTCTCATATAAACAATGATCGATTAACAGGGTGTGTAGCCAAGTCTTTCAACAAAAAATAAGCACCTTTTAAGTACATTTAAAGTACTCAAAAAATATTTTTAAGCACTATATATATTAACAAAATACAGAATAATTTTCAAAGACTTCACATGATCATGATTAAATAACTAGTTTCTGACAAAGAACTCCTCTTGATTATATTAGCCGTTACAAAATGATCAAGAGATTTTTCGGTTCGATATCAGAGGGAAGAAAATGAAGTCTGAAATTGAGAATATTTTGCAAAATACAGCTGTGTTGCACATGAGAGTGCAAGAATCTCTCTGAACTTAGCTCAGTGTATATGCACAGATGGAATAGCAAGTATTTTTCAAACATGTAAAATGATTGGTGCTTTCATACGCTATGGACCGACGTTATACCAAAATTGATAGTTGTTGAATGAATTGTGAAAATTATAGATAAAACAACGTAAAAAGCAGGTTTTTGCATAATGTGGGGCAAAAATTGATATGGTAAAGAAAAAAAATCTCATTTTCGAAAAGGGAAAAATTAAGCACTTCTTAAAACATCGCAATGAAAAAAGCACCTTTAAAGGCTTTTAAAAAAAGAAAATTGAAAATAAGCACTTTAAGCAAGTTTTTGAAAACAATACGCACCATGATTAATAACTTTTTAAAAATTTATTTTGCAATTAAATCGTTAACAATCTAAAATGATAATCCTGAGCAAAGCAAAAAATGTCACAAATATTTCAGAAGAGCAATTGCACTTGTTACTTCTTTATGAACAGCATATTTAATTAAAAGCAAATATATATTTATTGATTCAATAACATGAGAGTTTCAGAATAGTATAATGAGATTGAAAAACATTTATGTACATTTTCCTGAATTCATGTGTTACTTATTTGTATTACAGCAGCAATATCCCAAATGATGTTCCGCAGAACTCTAGGGTTCCATAGAAGAGTAAAAGGGTCTCGAGAGTTAGAACTTTTTTTAATCAATTTTTTTAAAGCATTTTTCAGATCTTTTATTATTTTTTTAATTTTCGCCCACCTTTCCAAAAATTGATTTTTTTTTCCTTCTTAGTTGTTTTTTAGTTTTCTTCTTAGTTTTCAAACAGCATTAAAAAAATACTGCATCTTTATTGCATCATTTTAAAAATATTTCTGCATAATGTATTGACACCTTATAATGATGTTTTATTTTTTATACTTTCAACTAAATACAAGAAAAAGTAACCGACAATTAATAAAATAGGGAAGTATTATATACATATTTTTTAACATGAAACAAATCTCTGAATAAATGTCTGAAAGAAATATTAAGATTATAATTTAACTATAAACTATTGTTAACCTCTGTTGCTGCTTTCTGCCTTTGGATCTGGGCTTATACCTAAATGTATAGTCTTTTCAATGACAGGAATAAGCTCTAAACACTGAATTAAAAAACGATCACATTCTTCAACAGCTTGGCACTGCAAAGAGAAAGGAAAAACTATAAATTTATTTCATAAATGTATTCTTATTCTATAAATACGGTCATAATTTAGTTCTTTTTGAAGTCGCTCCCTCTAATTAAAAAATAACAGGTTTGCCACTCAAATCTGAGAAAAAAATTCCCTGTACATATTATAAACAAGATATTAGGAAGAAAAAACACAATCACTGTACTCTTGTATGAGTTGTATAGGGCTAACTATACTAGTTACAATTGCTGAAAAAACTTGGGGAAAAAAAGGAACAGCTGAATATACTTAACCCTCTGTAAACGGCACTTAGTATGTGATGAAGAGAGGGTTGTTTGCAAGAAGACCTGTAGTTTACACCCAGCTCACTTTTATGAACAGGAGAGTTCGTTCAGCGTGGGGCAGATTGGAGTATGGATCAATGGACGACCATTCACTTTGCTGATGAGTCCCGGATGAGCTTAAACACCAATTCTTGCCGTACATTCATATGGAGGAAACAAGATACCCTGCTACCTACCTTCCAATGTCCGCAAAATCGATCATTATGGAGGAGCAAGTTTAATGGTCTGTGCAGACATCATGTTGGATGGCCCATTTTTTTGAAAGGGGCTCTATGATTGATGTGAGGTATAGGGATGAGGTTTTTGAGCCCTATATTTGCTTTTTCAGTGGTGAAGTTGGCCCTGAATTAATTTTAATGGATAGAACTCTTATGGTCGACGAATTTCTAGAGAGTGAGGATGTTTGCCGCACAGATAGGCCAGCCAGATCTCCAGACCTCAACCTCATAGAACATGTCAGGGATGCTCTGGGAAGGGCAATCATAACTCGCTACCTCCTCCAAGAACCATCAGGGGAATGAAAACAGCTCTGCCTTATTTCAAACATGAAATAACGCTGCAAGGCCTGAATATTTGTAAAAGGGGACTATACCCCTAATAACCCCCATTTTTTTTGTTTATTCTGCAACAGCTGTTTCTTACCTTCCAACTCCTACGAGTGTTATGTAGGATCATGCGTGTGCATTACAATTGTTGAATGGTTATTTGTTTGGTATTGTATCAATGCATGCACAGATAAAATTTCATCTCAGTAGTTCTAGAGATAATCGACCAAGTCTTCAAATTCTTTTAATTTCTTACACCAGTGTATTTAGAAAAATAATGCAAACACATCCCTAAATTAATACAAAAAGGACCTACACAATTCTCTATAGTTTTTTTAAATCAATTTATAGACTTATTTTTCTATAAGAACATCAGTTAAAATAAATCTTAAAGTATCAAAAATTTGATACCTTAATGTAAATAATAAATGACTACTGAAACTGTGGATACCTTTTTTTTCTGAAAGGTCATGAGAGCTTGATAAAATAATCTGCAAAATTTTATCCGAGAACATAAAGCTACGGCATCTTCATGCTGCAAAATATCATTTTGATATTAAAAAACTTGAATAATCAAAGCTAAACTATTTTAATAACAAATTTATTAAAGAAAAAAAATGTAACTAACTTGTATTTGTACTTCAGTTGGTTGCTCTTCGCCAGGTTTGGAACGAGTAATCTAACAAAATAATGCAAGAAAGTTACATGTACTTGAACAAGCATACACGAAGTTTATCAAATAATAAATTAATTTAAATTGAAAGTACAAAAAAAAAAAAAAATTATTAATTTTCTGAGTAGTGCATTACTTTGACAGATAAAGACAAATTTTTATGCAAAAGAACAATAAATTATTATTTTATTGAAGGAGCAATGAACAATTTTCAATTTGTAATTGAGTCCAGTCATAATAGTTTCAAAATAGAAACACAGTGCTATGTTTAACATAGGGTGGTAGCTCAAATCTGGAAAAAAATTCCCTGTGTTTTCTCTGTACATATTATACACAATATAGAGGAAACGCAACAATTACTATGCTCTTGTGTGAGTAATATTGGGCTAACTATACTAGTTTTAACTGCTGGAAAAACTTAAAGAAAAAAGGAACAGCTGAACATACTTAAATAGTGCTATAGTAAATTATATAGTTTAGTATAGCTGAAAAATCAGTCTTAAATATTGCATAGATTACGCTTTGAGTGATCATAATTTTTTAAAATACGAAGAAAAAAATCCCTGTATTTTTCTAGTTTGTAAAGAAAAAATCAAAATTCTCTGCATTTTTCCTGTTATTTTAGGTGATTTTTGAATTACCTGTATTTTACAGGTTTCCCTTGATGGAGTAACAGATGATCCCTCAAATCACTACCATTTTCAAATTCTATGTTCTGTATCATTAAAATCAATCATTTTAAATTTAGATGAATAGTGAAACTACTAAGTTCCCCCTACAGGATTTAATATTGCAAATATCATATAAGTATGTGACCTCTGGATAGCTTGAAAATTTTATAATGAAAAATTGTCAATTTTTTTTTCTTCATAAATGACTGCAATACTCAAAAGTTTGAAATAATGAACCCTGCAGGCATGGCTCTATATTTGAACCATGTGCCGATGCCCGAACAATCAAATTTTGTAATTTTTACTAGCATTATTAATTTACATAATTTTTTTTTTATCAGGGAAATTAAAAGCCCTGTAAGATTTTACTGTACATTAAGGTAATGTTATGTGCATTAAAAATTTTTGTCCACTTTGAATGATTTTTTTAATTGAATTTTTTTCAAGAAAGATTTAAATTAATTAAATTCTTAATAAACAAAAAAATATTTAAAGCTATTGATTTAATGAACTGGTTCATTAAAAGTGAATTAAATCAACAGCTCAGGGATGAGATTAGCGAAAAGGCAAAAAAGCTGAATTTCCACGATAGTAAATTTTACGCAAGTGCAACCCTTTAATAATAAATTCCAGGCAGTTTAAGGTAATAAATAATGTGTTGACATACAATTGTGAACTAATCTATTATTATATAAATGATTACATTGATACTTAACATTCAGTGAAAATAAAAATTACCAATTGAAAGAATAAAGCTGGAAATTATATTTTCCCTCAGTTCACATAAGAGACAATTATTACTTAAAAAACTACCTGGTTTAGCAAATTAAAACTACTGAGAATATACATTAATATTTCATTTCTTTTAATAAATACTGTTATGTGATTTATAGCAAATATATCAGTAATATTACTTTTTAAATTATATTGGAAAAAAAAACTTTAACAATGGACTGAATCATTATGTTCATATTATAGTCTAATCTAACTAGAGCCCTTTGAAACATATCAATAACAGTGAAGTAGAAATATATAGTAACTCCTTAACATACAAAAATTGCTATTTTAGTTTGAAAAATTACATGACAATCAGCAACTGTTTAGATAATTGTTTTTTATTTGATAAGAATTTTGCATTTTATAGCATAAATAACAGCAATTATAAATAAAATTTTGATGATGAGTTAATTAACTCTTTTTCCAAAAAAAAAAAATTTAAATTAAATCCCTTTTTAAGTGATTGCTTTTGTTTGCTATATCTTTTATGTTTGCTATATTTAGTCGTTAGTCCATCTTCAAACATCTTGTGACAAATCCTATTTTTTCTTCTTTGCAAGCACAGAATGTAAGTTTTGAATATATTCCCTTCCAGTTTCTCTGATGTTGTAACACTTACATATACTAATAATCGTCGTTAGAAAAACAGTCACCTTTATAGTAACTAATTTTAAAAAAATTTACTTCTTACAAGAATCGCGATAGTTGATCTTAAAATTGCGTGAATATGAATAACAATTATGGATTTTGAAATCACATGAATATGAAACTAGATATACGATTTTGAAAATGAGAAAATACAAACTGGGATATAGAATTTTTAAAACGCGTAAATACAAATCACGATTCATAATTTTTAGATCGCGTAAATACGAATCATGATGCGTAATTTTTAGATTGCATAAATAAGAATTATGATGCATAATTTTTAGAATGCGTGAATGCGAATCCCAATGCCTTATTTTAAAATCACGTATAAATATGAAAATCAATGTTTGATATTATAAACCGCATGAGCAAATCAACACATTGAATTTTAAACTTGCGTGAATATGAATCGCTACATAGGTTTTTAAAAAGACGTAAATACGAATCACAATATCGGATTTTAAATCTCGTAAATAAGAATCGCAACGTACAATATTCAAATTGCGTGAATAAGAATCGCAACACGCAAATATGAAAAGCTATGTTTGATATTAAAATCGTATGAATAAGAATCGAGATATTAGCAGATTCCAGGCTTGGGACCTCTAAAAGGTTTGTCAGACGCAGCGTCGTTTGAACTACGAAAATCGGATTTATCTGGAGGGTGGGTAAAAAATTTGGAAAATCTTATCTGCTGCGTGTAAAGGGGGAGAAAATAGCTAAAATAAGTAAAAATGAGAAAGGATTGGTAGCTATGTAGTTTGAATTTTCTGTTCCTCTTTGAAAATCGGTGAATTTTCTAAAAAAGCGGAATACCTATAAAAAAAATGAAATTTTTAGAAAATCTGAATTTTTGATCATAAAGCTGAAATTCAAGAGATAAAAGTGAAAAAAGCGGAAATCCGCTAGAAAGCGGAAAAATCTCATCCCTGAACAGCTCTAATTTCTCACAAGACATTAACTTTATGTACATTTAATAAGAATTCAAATTTTTATTTTAACAGTCTAAAAAGAACTGTCTTGCATACAAACGTCTCTCTTTTTAGGGTACCAGTATCAGTAAATTTATTAAAAGATCAGTTTATTTCAAATATACATCATAGTGTAATGAGAGTGAAGTCATTTTAATTGTAGTTTTCATATTTGAACAACCTAAATTATGAAGAAAAAATTATAAACATAAAAAATAAATATAATTAATTATAATTTGTTTTTTGAAATGATTTTTTCAACAAAACTGCATCAACTTAAAAACATGTTGAGCAAACCAATTTTTAGTTGTAATTAAAAGATAAACATACCTTTACTTTTTTTTGAAGTTCATCTTCAACTTCTTTCATCATTGTGGTTGCTTTTCCTATTGGTATTTCATTAGCTAATTTATAGCCATACATAACAGGTTGAAAATCTTCCTAAATTCAAACATAAAATGGATTTAATAGTAAAATTGTGTAAATAAAAAAAAATCTATTTCATTCTTAGTCCAAATGTTAAGAATGAAATGTTCAATGTATAAAAAGAAGGGATTTTTTTTCTTGCCTAGTTTGCTACGATAAAAAAAAATACTCAAGCTTAATACTTTTAAATTTATTACATTAAGCAGCTACTTTTCACCCACAAAATCTTTTATAGCCTCCAACATTTTAAACAGATATATACAGATGGCTCTCATAATTTTATCCTCAACAAGATGAGGCTCTTAAAGATAGATTTAGAGGCCTGGCAGCTCCAAAGAGCAGGGCACATCAACCATCTATTGTACCCAAACCCTATATCATTAATAGAGGAAAAGTTGAAACTAAGTTCAGCTAACACATGACAGAAATATCTTGTATTCCCATGTCCTTAATGCAATGTTGCCCTAAATGCTCAAATCTTTGAGCTGAATAGACCTCATAAAGTATATGTCATGAAATCTCCTTTTCAAGAAGACAACCTCGATAAAGAGAATCAGATTCAATACTGATTATGTATGTCTACGATCCTGAGGGTGCAGTGCCCAGTGAGATGATCAATGATCTTCCTCAAACTGTTCCTGTTTAGCTTAAGAAGCTCTTTTTGATGCACATTAGGGCAGTCACGATTTAACTCTTCAGGTTGAGTTGCGCCATTGCTCATGAGCAATCGTGTCATAGAGCTTTAATATAGATGCCCTGAAAGATGTGGGAGAAATTCCCAAAGCTGGTTTAGGGTCCCAGAAAATCGCACTGAAGCCAGCCCGTACTGTTCAGTGGTCTGTCTAGGTTTTTTTGAGAGGTACCTATTTTGTGAAAATTTAGACATAATTTGAATAAAATATTAGAATAAAAATTATATTTAGAAATCCAACACAAAAATATGGTAATAATATGGATTTATCATTTCTTAAGGAATACAAAAATAAAATTTTAAGAAAAAGTATTTTGTGAAACTACCGTTTTTCCTAAAATTCAATTTGTGAAACTACCGTTTTTCCTAAAGTTGAGTTTGTGAAGGTACCGCCAAACGGTAGTAAATTCGTTCTGGACAGACCCCTGCTGTTTCAACAGCCAGCTCATTACCAAGAATATGTTCACGCACCCAATGTAGGTATACTTTGTTACAAGTAGAAAGGTCACTGAAGGCCAAGAAGCACTCCCACACTAGTGAAGAGGTGAAGTTACACCTTGATAGTGATAGAAGAGCAGGCTGACTGTCTGAACAGATGTGGGGAGATATATTTAGATTATCCCTGTCTAAGCATATCCTGCAGAGGGTTCCCACTCCTTTAACAAAGCAAAAATTAAGCACTTTTAAGGACCTTTTCTTGAAAAAATTAAGGACTTTAAAAATAGAATGATAGTTATTCATCGAATATATATATATATATATATATATACATATATAATACCAGTGGCAGTGCCAATTATTTACATTTCTTAAAAAAAAATAATAAATAAAATAAAAAAATAATAAGCAATTTTATTACACTGATATAATTGCATTCATTAACAGAGCTCGCCAAAGAAGTAGCACGCAATTTTTGAATTTCAAGAAGTAGCAGGTTGGGTTTTTTTTAAAAAAAACTTTTTCAGATTGTTAAATGTTAACATAATCTATGAAACTAATCCATATTCAATTTTTAATGATTTCATTGAAAATTGAATTGTAAAATTAAGCTAGAAATTTAGATTTGCAATTTTTTTCATGTATATTAAAAAAAAGCGTAAATAAAGAAATTTGGCAAAAACATTGAAAAATTTATTACAACAAGTTTTTATATTTCGCTACTAGACCTGCATCACATATTCATTTGTGGGCCAATCTTGCAAAATATTCAGTTACAATAAAAAATTCTTTATTTTCTATTACTAAAATGTTTAATTTATAAGGGTATATATTAAAATAATTAATACTAAAAAGTTGAATTAGAGTTATGCTTGAGAATAGTTTTCTTAACTGTGCCATGTAAAATTAAGTCCAATTTTGAGTAAAAACAGGCGATACTAATATCTAAGCACCTTAAATAATTCCACATTCTTTTCATAAGGCTTAACTCAATATATTTTTTAAATTCATTACAATAAATATTTTTATCAAATTTTTATAGAATAAAAATACAATTACATTTGAGAAGATTTATAATTTTCAAACCAATTTCTTTTTATTAGTTCTTATTACTATTAGTTTCTTATTAGTTAGTAAACATGTATACAAGAGGGTCTAAAACGATTTTTTAAAGGTATCAACATATTCCTATGGTCAGAAAAAAAGTCGTATTCTTTTATTATAAAATAATCCTGTAATATCATCTTATCATTTAACGTTTTGTAAAAAAAATATTGATATATTTTATGTAAAACATATTGAAAACGGTATACAACTTAACAATTTAAAAATTATTACTAAACAACAAATGTGCTATATTTACTTTTATGATGAGCTTTACACAAAATTATTTCCAGGCAAGCTTGTTATTAGGAATTAACTTTACATGATGTTAATAAACAATTTGGTGAAAAACATGAACTTTTTTTAAAGCAACCAAAAATTGAATAAAATTTTATTTAAAAAATTAACAGTACATTAAGTTGCAATGTTAACTGAATAAAGATTTTATTAAGATCCAAGCATCTGTAATTGAGTAGATTTAAATAATATGTAACAATCTGCTTATCCTTAAGAAACAAAAATAATAGTGTAACGATCTAAAAGTTTAAAAAAAAATTAACATTGCAACTAAACAAATTATAAATAGTTAACAAATATTTAACTTTCTTGTTAGAAAGCAAATCATGCATTCTTATTTAGTACTCAGAAAAAAAATTTAAGTGTTTTTGAAGAAACTTTCATTAAAAACCCAGGTTTTTGATGAAAAAAATAGGTGGGCTGGAATTTTTTAAACCCTGTTAATTACAGATCTGTTTAATTATTAGTACGATCATGAATTTTACAAAAATATCACTGCTTTCAATAAATTTAGTTATTTATTACACATTGAAATATAAATTCTTCAAGATTTTAGGAAATAGTTATTGTTATGGATTCCAGTTCAAAAAATATTTCTGATACTTCTTTTCTTAGGGTTTTACTTAATTCCTATAAGCAGATGACTAGTAGAACAGAATTTCTCGAAATTTGTTAATGTTGAAGATTAGTGTGGGTCTTCTATTTAGGTACCTTAAAACTGTCCCCCCCCTAAAAGAGCACAATTAAAGAACCAATATTTTAATAAAAGGACATGCTTTCTTCCCCTTGATTGTAGTCCCCTCATACACATTCATTTTTGTCTCTCTAAAATGATGCATGGTCTAATTCTAAGTGATAAAAGAACGGTATTTTGTTTTGAAAAATTTAACTGAAAATTGTTCCGATCAACTCTAGTGATGCTGAAAAATTAAGGACTTTTAAAAACCTTGTACCAAAATTATGTACTTTTAAGGGCCCTTATATTCCAAAATAAAAATTAAGCAGTTTTTAAGGACTTTTAAGGACCGTGGGAACCCTGCTGCAGCACTAGATGATAGCATAGACTTCAGCCTGAAAAACGAGTTTCTAGAGAAAAAAATTAATAAATAACATTAAAATGGTTAAATAGTTCAAAAGCATGTACCTCTTCAAACACGCCAGCTTTGTTTACAAAATCTCGTATGACCTCCAACATTTTTAACAGATGTATACTGAAGGCTCTTATAATTTTATCTTCCACAAGATGGGGTTTCTGAAGATACAAATTGGTAAACACAGTCTGTGCTAGTGAGTGTCCCTCAAGCCAAGTAACCTGGAAAACAATAAACTCACATAATTTAAGGACAGGGTCTATATTTTGTTTGTTTCATATCTATTGAATTGACGTTTTCTGCTATATTTAACTGAATATTGAGTTTAACTAGACATCATTACTTTATCAATGCGTAACAAGATAAAAAAAAAGATGTTAAGAGTCAATCAAATGACTAACAAGTATAATCTTAATAAATTTTTAAATGATAAATTTTTTAAGACATAGTATTTTGTTCTTTGACTACCTTTAAAAAATAAAACTATTGATAGCGAATATTACAAGGCATTATTGGAAAGACTGAGTGAAGAAATTGGAAAAAAAAACCNCATAGGGCAAAAGTAAAGTTTGCCACAAGCCACTAAATATAACAATATATAGTGATTAAAAATATTGCTTCCTAGTTGCTACCTATAGCCACTTTCTCATTAAAAAATGCACCTCATGCAACATTTAATTATTTTTTTTAAATAAATATGGAATTATAATGACTACTTTATAAGGCTCCATCATCCTAATTAAAGCTAGTCCATGTTGGATATATTTAAGTTGTGAATTAAAATTCAATATATTTATTTTTGCTGAATATTTTTTTCAAAATGAAATTTTAATAAAAGAATACTTACTTTATTTAATCTCTCTAAACATGACACTCTAGCTTCCAAGTGTTCTATGTCCCTTTTCAGTTTCGTTTCTCTGTCAATTCTTTCACTTTCAAGTCTATTCTCACCTTCTCTTTGTTTCTAAAATTGTGAAAAATAAATTAATAAAATAGTGAATTACTATCAGATATACAAATATGTAAGCTCATGAAGAAACAAATATTTTAACTGATTGCAATAATAAAAAGTTTCTTGAAAATATGCAAATTTATAAAACAAAATTAGTATAAATTTGTTTAATTTTTGCACAAAGTTTAAGTGGGTTTAATGATTTCAACAAAATATCCCTTTTTAAAAAGTTTATATATCTACCTTAATCTGGGAAGAGAAAATCTTGGTTTTTATAATTTTTATTTAGTTAAGTAAGTTTTTAAACATTTTTGTTAAGTAATCTTTTAGAATATTTTTTATTTTCATATTAAATTTAATTTCTTTTATACATGGTATATTGAAAAATATTTTAAAAGCATGTTATAATGGATTTGTAATTTTATGGTAAAAATGATTGTGAATAATTCTCTGATATAGCAAGTGAATAAAAGGGAAGGACACGAGAAAAAAGGGTATTAGTGAATTAATGCATGAATGAATCAGTTTTTAGAAAAGTTAATAAAATAATTATTTGTAGTACAGAAACAGTAATCAAATTTTTTTGTATATTTGCTGCTCACCTAAATTTTTTTTTTAAAAAGAAGAAGGAAAATGCAAAATATTTATTTTTTGATTTCTGAAATTTGGACCCTATGATGAGAAATCGATAGAACTTCATCCAGTTAATTTTTATCTATAATAAAAGAGCTCTAAACATATTGCATTATTATTGGTTTAGCATTTGTGTTGTTTATTTAAATACCATAAGAAATAGTGTGATATCGATATAAGAAAAATATATTTTGCTAGCACATTTTATCGATATTTTCAAGTTTTCCATTCAATGCACACATTACATTCCATTCAATCCACAAATTACATAAAACAATAAATAACAATGTATTTTATCAAATGAAGTTGCTCTCGACGAATTAGTAAGCAGAGAAAAACATACACCAAGAAAATTTTTTCAAGACCCTTCTAAAATATTAAAAAAAAAAAAAAAAAATTATTCAATTTTTTAAAAAAAATTTAAGACACTAAAAAAGACTTTTAAAACCTAGTAGTATACAGGAAAAACTATTAGGCAGCCCTGGAAGTAGAATTTCTGGTGAAAATCTGCTACGCTAGTTTGCCTGCGACCTCAATAGTCAGAAAGATATTATGACGCTAATAATTCAGTTCACAGATACATGCCATAACATTTTCAAATTTAAGGTCCTAAAAAATTACATATAAAAACTTCTTATTGTTTAAATTTAAATACATTTTTACACAATGAAACTAAATTGATTAATCTCTATACAGTTAAGTCTGCTATCAAGTAACAGAAAAAAATTTGCTTTTTGCTAATATTGTGGTGTTCAGCTTCTTTAATTTCATCTGGAACTAGTTCAGAGATGTTTTAAAAAGGAGTCTTTGCAATCCCTCCTCATTTGCATGTATAATAATATATATAATGTAGAAGAAAAATAATTTCTTGATGCTGCAATAATTTGCAGCCCCTGTTGCTGTGCTGGAGGGTTTCTGGCAGCCACTTTATAAGAAAGGAATTAAAACAAAGAAAAAGTTCATACATTTAAAAGTTTCTCTCTTTCCTCCCTCAGCATTTGAGAATGCCAACTCTCTCTTTTGTCTATTTCAGCATTTAGTTCTCTTTTAACATTTTCAAGTTCTTGTGACTTCTTTTCTAATGCTGATTCTAGATCTGATACTTTTGCCCTAAAATTATTTTCAAGGTGGCACAATTGGTTCTGTAATCTCTGATTTTCTTCCTGAAAAAGTAGCCACAAAAGTATTCAATATGAACATATCACATAAGAAGGAAATGCAAAGAATAAATGTAACATTAACATTAGATAAAAATATAAAATAATAAATAATTTAAATATATATATATATGTATAGTACACACCAATAATGAAAATTAAGCGGTCCAATAAGACCACCTATGTATCAGGGTGCGTAGCCGAATTTTTTATAAAAAAATAAGCACCTTTTAAGCATTTTTCAAGTATTCAAAAAATATTTTTAAGCACTTTGAAAAATATTATAATTAGGCTAGGTTGGCAAGTTTTTGACAATTGATCTGGTTTTATTTACAGTGATGAAGACTATGGCAGGTCACAAATGATGAAATTAACAAGAGAAATGAAATTTTTTATCACCAATAGAAAAAAAAAATTGACAATGTTTAGTTGGTCCCCGTAATCAGCAAAAATTAGAGAGATTTTTCGATTCTATTACAGAGGGCGGAAAATGAAGTCTGAAATTGAGAATCCCTTGCAAAATGCAGCAGGGTTGCACATGAGAGTCAAAAATCCTTACCACTGAATCCAGCTCAGTATACGCAAGTATTTCATCAAACATGTAAAACAAATGGTGTTTTCATACACTACAGAGCGTCGGTAAGCCGAAATAGATTGGGGTTGAATTAATTGTGAAAACGTTGAATAGGAGAATGTCTTTTTGCATAGTTTGCGATGAAAATCAACATGCTAAAGAAAACTATCACATTTGGGAAAAGGGAAAATTAAGCACTTTTTAAAAACACCCACGGAAAAAAAAGCACCTTTAAGGGCTTTAAAAAAAAAGGAAAATCGAATATAAGCACCTTAATGCACTTTTCAAAAACGCTACGCACCCTGCCAGTGAAGATACAACTGAACATATTTAATACAGGGCTGCCACTCAAATTTGGAGAAAAAAAATTCCCTTCACTTACCCTGTACATATTATGCACAATATATTAAGAGGAAACACAACAATTACTGTGCTCTTGAGTGAGTAATATTAGGTGGTTATATATAACTATACTAGTTTTAACTGCTGGAACTGCTAAAAGGAACAGCTGAACATACTTAAATAGTAAGTTTTCAGTGGTCACCTTTTTTTAAAACACACGGAAAAAAAATTTCCTGTATTTTCTCAGTTTGTAAAGGAAAAAAAAAAAATCTAAATTCTCAGCATTTTCCCTGTTACTTTAGGTCAGTGTTTTCCAAACTTATGAGTTTTGTGTACCCTTTCTAAATTGTTCGTAACGCTGTGTACCCTAATAAAAAAATTAATGTATTTTTTACTATAAAAAAATTGCACATAAGTTAAAAATCACAACTGGCTTTTGACAATACTAATTATTAACTGTTAACTCAGCAAAAAATAGCCAATAGAAATAGCAAAAAATAGCCAAAAGGTCAGTTTATTTCAAATACACATCATAGTGTGATGAGAGTGAAGTCATTTTAATTGCAGTTTTCATATTTGAACAACCTAAATTATGAAGAAAAAATAAGAAACATATAAAATATATATAATTAATTAATTATAGTTTTTTTTTAAACGATTTTTTCAACAAAACTGCATCAACTTAAAAACATGTTGAGCAAACCAATTTTTAGTTGAAATTAAAATATAAACTTACTTTTACTTTTTTTTGAAGTTCATCTTCAACTTCTTTCATCATTGTGGTTGCTTTTCCAATTGGTATTTCATTAGCTAATTTATAGCCATACATAACAGGTTGAAAATCTTCCTAAAATCAAACATAAAATGGATTTAATAGAAAAAGTGTAAATAAAAAAAAATTTATTTTATTTTTACTCCAAATGCTAGGAATGGAATGTCTAATATATAAAAAGATGGGATATTTTCTCTCGCCTAGTTTGCTATGATAAAAAAAAAGATACCCAAACTTTACTTTGCATAATACTTTTAAATTTATTACAATAAGCAGCTATTTCTTATTCACAAAATCTCATATGACCTCCAACATTTTTAACATATATACACTGAAGGCTCTCATAATTTTATCCTCAACAAGATGGGATTTTTAAAGATAGACTGAGAGGCCGGGCAGCTCCAAAGAGCAGGGCACATCGACCAGTGCTCTATTTTACCCAAACCCTAGATCATGACTAGCGGAAAAGTTGAAACTAAGTTCAGCAAACATCTGACAGGAATATCTTGTAATCCCCAAGCCTTAATGCAATGTTGCCCTAAATGCTCAAATCTTTGAGCAGAATAGATTTCTCAATCACAAAGTATTTGTCATGAAGTCTCCTCCTCAAGATGACAACTTCAACAAAGATAATCAGATTCAACACCCATTATGTATTGTTGTCTCCAGAGGGCGCAGTTTCCAATAAAAAGACTAATGATCTTCCTCAAACTGTTGCTGTTTAACTTAAGAAGCTCTTTTTGACGCACATTAGGGCATTCACGATTTAACTCTCCAGCTTGTCCCTGGCCATCTGAGTTGCACCATTACTCATGAGCAATCGTGCCATTGAGCTTTAATATAGATGCCCTGAAGGATGTGGGAGAAATTCTCAAAGGTGGTTCAGCCCCCCCCCCTCCCCCAGAAAATCGCACTGGAACCAGCCCGTACTGTTTCATCAGCCAGCTCATTACCAGGAATGCCCGTATGTCCATGCACCCAATGTAGGTATACTTTGTTATGAGTAGAAAGGTCACTTAGGACCAAGAAGCACTCTCACAGTACTGAAAAGATGAAGTGATAAAAGAGCAGCCTGACTGTCAGAACAGATGTGGATAGGTATATTTATATAATCCCTGTGTAAGCATATCTTGTAGCACAAGATGATAGCATAGACCTCAGCCTGAAAAACGAGTTTCTAAAGAAAAAAATTAGTAAATAACGTTAAAATGGTTAAATAGTTTAAAAGCATGTACCTCTTCAAATACGCCAGCTTTGTTTACAAAATCTCGTATGACCTCCAACATTTTTAACAGATGTATACTGAAGGCTCTTATAATTTTATCTTCAACAAGATGGGGTTTCTGAAGATACAAATTAGTAAACACAGTCTGCGCAAGTGAGTGTCCCTCAAGCCAAGTAACCTGAAAAACAACAAATCAATTCTCATTCAAAAAATAGCACATTATTTAAAGACAGGGATTATATTCTGTTTGTTAGATATTTATTGAATTGAAATTTTCTGCTATATTTAACTGAATATTGAGTTTAACTAGACATCATTACTTTATCAATGCGTAACAAGATAAAAAAAAAGATGTTAAGAGTCAATCAAATGACTAATAAGTGTAATCTTAATAAATGTTTAAATGACACATTTTTTAAGACATGGTATTTTGTTCTTTGACTATCTTGAAAACGATAAAACTATCAATAGCGAATATTACAAGGCATTATAAGAAAGACTGAGTGAAGAAATTGAAAATAAAAATTTTAAAAACCTCACTGACAAAAGAAAAATTCTTATTCACCAAGACGATGCCCCCTGTCACAAGTCAATGAAGACGATGGTTAAATTGAATGAATTATGCTTTGAACTCACCATACTCAACATGCAACATATTTATGGATCTGGCCCCTAACAACAACTGGAACTTTGCAGACCTCCAAAATATGCTTCTGGGAAATAAATTTAGCTCAAATGAGAAAGTTATTGCTGAAACTGAGGCCTATTTTGAGAGCAAAAACAAGTTGTTATACAAAATAGGTACCGAAAAGTTACAGGAGTGTTTAAATGAATGTATCATTCTTGAAAGGGAGTATGTTGACAATTTCTAAATTCTAGATTTTATTTTTTAGAAGTCAAATTTCTAAAAAATAAAATCTTTTTCTTAGCATAACCAGGACTTTGCGAGTAATGTGTCAGTAAGCTAAGAAACATAGATAGAATATCATAATTATATATTAATACATAATTAAAAATTTCATGCAGCAAAAATCTTTATTCAGAATTTTAAAATGTAGACATTGTGGATCATTGTAAAGAAAATCAGAGCTGGAAGATCACAATATAAAAATTAAAGACTAAATTTCCTCATAATTTAAGGATGCTGATTCTCTAATGGGAGTAATTTCAAGGATATTAACATGGATTCACAGACATACAATAGGTAATAGCTTCAGTAGTTCATGCCCTTAAGCAAAAAGAAAAAAAAACATTTTTAAGAAAACACAGATTTAAACAAAAAATTACGAAAACATTTATTGTTTATTTTTTTACATATATTAAAAAAGTGGTAGAAAATAGAATAAATAAGGAAAATGTGAGTATTCTCTCGTGAAAATCAGTAGAGTATGATAGTATGATCAGTAGAGTAGAGTATGATGGGAGAAAAGAGAGATAAGAGCTTTTTATATATCTCTCCCACATGGAATGTTCTATACCAGAGGTTCCCAAACTTTTTTTTCTCATGGACCACTTTCAAAGTTTTACTATTTTTGGTAGACCCCCTGCTGCTACATTTCTACTGTATTCCCAAAACTCCTAAAAAATATCACCCTGAATTGGGGGTGTTAAGAAGAAAAAAAAAGTAGCACATTTTCTTGTGTCCTATTTATTAAAATAATACTTGTGGTTATACTAAATTATAAACATTTATTATTACAAACAATCAACAATTGACAAATCAACAATCAACATTATCAATATTTGGCTTCAGTTTTGTAAGAAGTAATTTCAAATCTCCCCGTTCTGTGATGTTCAATCTGCTCCTTTTTTTTGTTAACAGGTTGGTAACGGCACTAAAGCTTCTTTCGACAAGATATGGCGAGGGAAACGCTATCAAAAATTTTCTCGCAATTTCCCACAGCCCAGGATATTTTTCGGGGATTTCTGCCTGCAGCCAAAATGTTTGATAGCCTTTCTTAAATTTCACCTTCAGTTCCTCGTTGGTGCTGAGCTCAAGTAGCTCCTCTTGTAATACCACATTCACCTCTTCCGCTTCATCAAATGGGGTTATGATCCATGGTGGTATTTCCATCGTCAGAATATCTTCAAATCTATTTTTGAAGTCATCATGCAAGGTATTTAAATGCGAGCGGGCGGCACTTTGCAAGTCTCGACATGTGGTGTACACTTGTACTATTTTCGATTGTTCTATTCAATTCTATGTTTGAACTGAGTCTCGAATATTTTTGAGTACCTACCTAGTAAATGATGCTACCTGCCTACGCTGATAGGTAAATCCAAGCCAAAATTTTTGCTCTTTATTATGAAAACCATAAAATTTTTCGTGGACCCCCACTTACAACATGTGAACCCCTGTTTTCTTTTCACGTCTACGTGGACCCCCGAGTGGTCTCCTATGGACCCCTGGGGATCCACCTGGACCACTTAGGGAACCTATGTTCTACACCTTAAAGTCAAGAGTAATTGTCTCTAACAATGGAATAAAAAACTAATAAAATACTTGACGCGCTATGAAGACTTAGGTATTCAATTTGTTACATACTTTGTTTCAAGGCATATAACAAAATTTCTGAATTTCTTTTTTTTTTTTTTTTAAACTCCTTTTTTAGATAAATAATATTTATTCTTGCTTTTAACTTCAAAAATTTGGAAAATTTAAATATTTTAAGACATATATTAAAATTTTTAATAATTAAAGACAAATAAGGATACTTTCTTTTTTTTAAAAGGAAATTAAGGACAACTTTGAGCCCTGAAAAATTCGTCAGATGCAGACATAGAATATCAATGAAACATTTATTATAATAAAAAAATAAGATCTAAGAAGATAAGAATACATATAAAGATTATATAGTTGATAACAAATTTTTTTTTATGTTTGTGTAGATTCTTAACAAAAATAAATACATAAACAGTACATAAAGTACAATAATAGTTTTTATACAAATGTAACTGATTTTGTCAAGGAAGGATAAAGTTATTCTTACCAAGCATGCCAAAGTTGCATCGATTATACCAATTTGTTCTTCAGCAGATAAATCTTTAATTTTCAATTTTCCAGCCTGTAATCAGTAGGGGTATTGATTGTCAATGATTTATAAATGCTTTCTATATGCAAAAAGAAATAACATTATTTATATCTCAAAAAGTGAGGTTACCCCCTTTAATGCAAATAATCAAAAAACATTAAAAAGTCACTCATCTCTCAGTTCATTTAAATAGTTAATACAGATTAATACAATGAATGATAGCTTTTACTTTTAATTATTTCACTCAACTCTTGATTCATTAGACGTCAGTCAATGTTATTATCAAGGGTGATTGTGACCCTAATTTAAAAATCCTGAAAATTTCTTCAGTAGAATCATTAATGGCACATTGCAAAAAGTTAATGTCTTTATCAATTTAAAATATCATTGATATTTTCAAAACATGAAATTCTAAATAAATAATATGAAGCACAATTTAAAATAATAGTTATGTATAAGTTTAATTTTATGTCGAATCACATTTATTATTGCACCAAAAAAAATATTTACTAATGAAAGAGATGCCAAGTATAAACTCTAGTTCCAATATTTCTACATAAAATATACAGAATTTTTATACATAAATGTGATCATGGATTTCCGGAAACTTCCAGATCGCAGTTAGCAAAAAACCTGGAATTTTTATACCAGGTTTTTTGCCTGGAATTTTTGCTTGGAATTTTTATATGGAGCACAATCATCTCTGTAATTAAATAAGTTCAATTATATTAAACAATTAATTAATAAAATAAAAAAAATATATAAATAAATAAAAATAGACATTTGCACAAAATAGACACCTTAGTTTTCAAAACAAAGTGTTAAAAAAAAACAGCATTGAAAACAGAGGATAAAAATATAAGTTGTAGATTAATAGTAGTAGATGCAGATTTTAATAGGTCACACATAAAGAAAAATTATTCGAGTTTTAGTAAGTTATCAGACCATTAAAAACAAGGCAATTAAAGAACATTACGAAATACACATTTAACAAATCAAACAAAAAATAATTTTGAGCAATAATTGCTTATTAACAACAACTTTTTGATTACTTTAAGTGCTTGGTCAAAATTCAAAACTTTTTTGCTGCCTCTATTGCACATCATTCCCGCATCCATTTTTGGATCCATCATTTCAATAGCAGACATTGCTTCAAACAAACCAAACCTGTTTATAAAAACATGAATATTTTTAATCACACGTTTTAGCTTTATAAAATTTGGTTGTGTAATTTATCTGATTTGAAACTTACATATCATCATGAAGAAGTTCACCAAGTTCCAATTCTAAAAAGAAAAAAAAAAACATTTAAAAAAGTTAAAAGTAAAAAAATAATATTGAAAGCATAAGTTAGACTGTCAAAAATTCTTTAAACAGCTTTTGGTTAATCTTCTTAAATACTTATATATTAATTTTACAAAAATTAACAATACAAAAATTAACAATACAAAAGTTAATAATAATTATTAAAAGTTAATTTAAAAATGAAAGTAACAGATACACAATTTTTAGAAACTTTACAGTTTAATAGTTTTACTTTAAACTGAAACAACATTTTTTCGTTTTTGGTCTTCAAAATTTTGTTCTTTCTGCTTTTGCTTTGAGAAACCAGATTTTGGTAGCGTTCTCATGCATTCAACTTAGTCAGCAAAGCTAATAGAACACAAACATTTTCTAAAAGAACTTTAGTTCAAAGTTTGAAAGACGACATCATTATTTAATGGCTACCACAAAGATTTATAAAGATTTAAATTTAACATGGTTTAAGCAATGAAATGTTTAACTTTAAAACTATTCATCTTTATGTTCATAGAAGACCTCATAAAAATAATAAAAGGTTAAAAGTTTAGCAATATAATATTTTAAAACCTTCAGTTGCTTTGAAAAACTCTTCGGTTACATTAATCCAATTGTAGCTACAGCATTTTTGATAAGAATTAGAAGACACCGTAGCTCCGGCATCCATAGTTTCAACTTTTCTAAAGGATGGAAAAAAAAAGATATTAGAAATGTGAGGATTTCAAACTATTCATAATAAATGAAGAACTAAATAAGATTAACGCACTTATCTTCAAGGCCGTTTTTAGAAGAAGGGGAAACAGTATCATCTGACATTTTAAAGATAGTAACTTATTTAACGAAAGGTAGATGATCACTATCCTTAAAATACAAAAAATAAACAAATGTTTTAAATTAGTAAGCTTGGAAGGCTTCTAGCTACCTATTTCTGTTTAATGAAATATAGGTTAAAACTCTGGTTGGTTGATCATGCAAAGCTAAGCACAGATGTCGCTGCAGGTTGAAATTCATTGTAAAACTACCCGGTTACTACGTACTTCCGACTGATTTTTACGCTTAAGCTTGAAAAAAACACGTCATCCAATATTATTATACCTGTAGTGTTTTCAATATAACGTGTTCTTTCAATAGACAAAATATGAAAGGCGAATATTTGCGTGTTCCCCACTCAAATCTCACAATAGATGTTTGATCGTTTACAATTCGCGCATTGAGAATAATTGTTCACTTTTTGAAATTGGAATTAAAAAAGAATTTTTTCTTTTTTAATTCCAATTTTTTGAAAAAGAAAAGATTTCTTCTCTGTTATTATATTCACATTTACCTGTTTTTGTTGAAAAAAAATCAAAGCAATACAAAACATGTGAATTTTTGAATTACAGGCATTCATCGCAAGGATGTCTTTATGGATGGTGTTTTCAGTAGAAATGTAAACAATAACAATCTCGAGCTGTAGGCTCTAGTTCCGGTTAGAAAGTGTGCAGCTGCTTACTACATGTTGTTCTACGAGGCGATATTTTCAAACGGATAATTTTGTTTTCAATAAAGGAAATAAATTAGATATTTTCTGAGCTCAAATCTGCAGTATTTCCTAAAATATTAATGTTATTATGTAATTCTGGGGAGTTTGAAGAGAAAATTTGTTTTAGTTATTTAGAGATATATTGTTAAAAAAGGTGATATGGTTACTAGATTTTGAATAACCCGCTTTTTTGGCAGTCTTGATTTGGCTTCTTTCCATTTGTTTATTACTGTTTGTTCGTATTGCAAGTTGTGCACTATCTTACGTTAGTGTTAGCATTTTGTTCGAGGAGCAAGATTAAGTTTGGTAATAAGTATTCAAATACCTCGTTTGTAAGAATCTTAAAACACAACGATCACGTTGTGAGCCAAATGGCTTTAAAATACACTGGAAACAGTAACCCGGAAGTATAAGCGGCATGCAGCTTGCAGCTCTCCCTAGAGTCGAAAACACCGTTCATAGATTTCAATAGGATACAAAAGGACATTTCTGTTCTATTCCATCGACAGTGCAGAATAAAATATCCTCAGTTGTAGACGGATCATGGGTTAGAGTTCCCGGGCAGCCAGGCTAACCGTGGGATGTTCTCGTGGATTTCCTCTCTATGCAACGCAAATGTTTGTTAGTTGCATCCAAAAGTCCTCCTCTACTAAGGCAAATTTCTCCCAATATTTGATCTAGGTCCTTGTCTTCTGTATTGGGTTCAAAATTACAAGGCTACAGACTTGAACATTAGTAAACCCAAAATTGTGTCGGCTGTTCAAATGACGGTTATAAGATCATCGCCTTTTTCTCAGTTTTTGAAAATTTTTATGGGATCAGATAATACAGCATTAAGTAAGTTTTTAAATATCAAAAAATATACCTCAAATGCTTTTAATTTTCCCTTAGCTGTGGCTTTCCACATTGGCATTTCGCTCCAATTTCAGAAAACATAGAGAACACTGACTACTACAGGTAGGCTAAGCTTGATTACAGTCATGAGTAACTGTAGCGATAGTTGTGAAAATAGCATAGTATTTGCAAAAAACCATTCTTTCTTAAGACGGCGGAGCCTTTGAAAAACAGTCTTGAAATAAAAATAAGATAATCCTGCCCTTGAAAATATTCACTTGACTTCAATGAAACTAATGCGATAAAAGGTGAACATGAGAACAAAAGGAGATAAGTCGCAAAGAACACTCCTGAAACTTTAGTAAGAGTGTGGGGATAGCAGTTATCGACACTGCCAACCCTCATCTATTGAAAGGCACTTCAAGATCGAATCAAGTTCGCACGAAAAGCAAGTAAATGAGACTGAGGAGCAGCTGCGCGGAGAGGACAAGGACGCAGTCACAAATAGCAAGTCAACTGTTAAATGTGAACCTTCCATCGAAGTAGGCGTGATCATATTACGTCCGCAGGTCACAAATGTGGGGAAAGGATTTTTTGACAACGTCAACATGCATCATCAAATGGCACCTCAAGATTGAAACGAGTTAGCATATCTTATATAGTAGTGAATTGATGTGGTAGTTCATAGTGGTAGTTACGTCACAAGACAAATCATGAAAGGGTTTCCATGTGTCTTGCATGGGATCAAAGTTGTAACAAAGTGGCAAGATATTTTCTCAGTGACTTTAGTCGATGTAAAGTATATTTGTGATTTCCAAGTGACAAAAATCACAATAAAAAGTCATGGAGACTTTTATGTGATATCGTGAGAAAGAGTAACATCAAAGACACATTATGACCTCCTTGGACCAATTGGGTACTTACACTTCAAGAAGAAGAAGAAGAAGATCACAATACCCACACAAATGACCTATGAAGTCAGGGCCAGCTGATCAGTTATAAGCAAAATGGCGTGTTAAAGTTGACCTAAGTTTCTCCACATAAGTTAGAATAATTAACTTAAAGTTAATTAAGTACAGCTCCGTATTGGAGCTTGTATCCATGGAATTTGTTGAGATATAATTTTTTCTCGTCTACGTCTTTTATTTAAATTTGATAAGCGATATTTCGCAGCGACATTTAATTTTGATATCATTTGTTTATGTATTTTATTCTTACCGTGATATCTTTTTGCTTGTGTACCTGGCAATTTCGTTGCATAAACAGTTTCTGAAAGAATTGAAATCTTTGTGAAAGAATATAAAATGCGTCAAAGAGAATTGATGCTTGAAGGTCTTAACTTACTCGAAACGGAATAGAAAGAACAGTAGGTAACGTAAGCAAAAGCTAAGTTTCAACAACCAATCAGGAGCCGGATACCCACTCTATGTCACTTGCAGGTATCCTATTGAAACAGTCGCACCCGCAACTGCGATTGCTCAGCAATCACAGCAATCATTGCTGCGACCGTTTTTTTGATTTTATTAAGATGTCACGGTGTCCCTTTTCATGTAAGTATGATATCACGAGAAATTTGTTGTTGTTGTTGTTAATTTACGTCGCCCTAGAGCTGCACAATGGGCTATTGGCGACGGTCTGGGAAACATCCCGGAGGATGATACGAAGACATGCCATCACAATTTTGATCCTCTGCGGAGGGGATGGCACCCCCGCTTCGGTAGCCCGACGACCTGCGCACGAAGTCGATCATTTTACGGTAGCACAGTTTAACGAGGACCAATACCGCACACCCTCGGTCCCTACGCAAACTGATCCAAGTGGTCACCCACCCGCACACTGACAGTAGCCAGTGATGCTTGACTTCGGTGATCTGCTGGGAACCGTGTCTTAACTATCAGTCCACTGCGGGGAACGAGAAATTTGTTATTAAAATGTTCAGTACAACATATGCTAACATTAAAAAGAATATCCTAATCATCTATCTTAATAGCGCCTTTGATGAATTATAAATCCAATTAATCAATAATTAAACTGTGTACTTTTTTTCTATTGTTAATTATGCGACCCAATGAATTTCATTTCAGTGAATGAATATTCACGTTAGAAAGTTTAAATCAGTCTTTGACACGTTTCATTGATAATTAAAATGGACTTTAGCTTGCCAACCAGTTTTGTTTAACATTTTTAAGCCTAGACGAACATTTTTTGCTATTAAAAACATCTTTTTTTGAATATTAATGAGACCCAGTAGTTGACACTTACTGATTTAAGTCTTAAGTGTATACTCAAATATACGATTTATGTTCGTTTGGACATCCATCCGCTGTTAGTATTTAACCTCTACTATTCTGTCATAGGAACCATGTCGCTGGTTCAAAGTTAAAACGACACTTCTGCACTCACTTCTCATTCAAATAATATGAGAAGTGAGTGCAGAAGAGTCGTTTTAACTTTGAACCAGCGATGTGTTGCCGGATGCACATTAACATTAATACCTCATGACTAATGAGTGCAAATTTTAATATCGCTATGCATTGTCAAAAATATATCGTGAAATCTTCCCAATTAATCTAATTTTGCATTGGTGAACTTGGATTCATAGTATCAAAAGCCGATAAGTACTGTTTTTTTTCTCATAAAGTTTGTGATATTTTAATTTAAAGGATAATAATATGGAGTTTGAGAATTTGAATTTAGTGATCGAAAACGTTGGCCTGCATATTTGTTTCTAGCACGTTTTACTTCAGCACTTAAACTGTGAGTTTATCGAGTTTTAAGGATATTTAATTATTTTCTAGTGGTTTTATCTGCATCGATTTTTCAAAACTTTTGTGAGAATGCTGTTTGCATGACAGCGCTCGTGCTAATCTATAATAAAATAGACATAATAATAGGCATAATAATAGATATAAAACACAAAATAGAACTTATTTCGCTGGATAGACCAAGACCCCATACGTATAAAGTGTTAATGTCTGATCGAAAAGAAGTTGATCGCCAAATTCAAAAGCTCTTGGAGCTAAAACTAATACCAGAGGCGGAAATAACCTATCCCATCGTAGGGTGTAACTAAGAAGGATGCTACAATTTGCATGTGCAATTATTTATTTACGTAGCACTAAAGCTGCACTATGGGCTATTGGCGATCGCATGTGCATAGACTATAGTAGATTAAATGTGTTTATTAAGGTTCCAAGTGTTTCCATGCCTACAAGACATACAAGAGATGATCTTCACGGCTGGAAATGAAAATTGGCTAACATGTCTTGACTTGCAGAAAGGGAAGTGTCAAATAAAAATGCAAGAGATTGCAAGCATTTTACAGCATCCGCTGCCCATAATGGAAAACATGATCCTGATCCTGATGAGGATAAATTATTGGTGATCAAGCAAACTAAAAGTGTCAGAAACGAAGCAAGAAGTGCATTCAATCTTGGGTTTGATGATTTTTTTTTACATTCTAAATCTCGTCAAATTAGGAGCGAAGAACAAGATAGTGTCTCCAGATTCGATTAACTTAATTCTAGTTATAGCGTTCTAATATGAGGGTCAGATGAATTAAATTCGAATTTG